CGGATGGGCTGGTTATAAGGTGAATCAGGTTCACGGTTGCGTTAAGAGCACCAAGCTCTGTAAGGGATGCGCGCCATTCGTTGGAAGGGATGACAGAATCATGCCGGTGAGGCTAATTTCGTATTCACCACCTGAGTGACACCTCACACTTAGTCTTGTACCTGCCCCGATGATGTTCGTGTCCTCGCCTCTGCAAGTAGTGACTGTCCACGGCATGACGGTACTACCTTAGACCCGGGGGCTTCCGTCTTTCTGACAGTGTCATAGTACCGACTTTGTACAAGATGCCTGCCCACATACCTCGCAAGGTAGTACCACATTTTCGACGTCACGTGGATTGGGACTGGGACAAGACACTGGCCCAATCAATTCGCGGGCATCTGCATGTCCGTGCGTCGATGTTGAACCCACAGTGCCCTGTTGACTTGTGGCGTCGAGGGTCCGACCCTCCGATCCCGCCTGGACATATCTCTCGTAGGTTATCTTGGCCATCTGTTCGGAAATGACAATGATTCAAACGTCGCTTGCAGGAACAGTGCAGGAGAGGCGTTTTCATGGGATTTTGTAAGGAATATTTAGTTTGTTTTTCAATGATGTTCCAGCGTTTTCTACCATCCATATCAACACTACCGCGATTGCTATATAGATCATTGTGATTGCTGAGTCGAACCAGCCCTGGTTTACATTGAGTCTGAATACCAAGATTGAAATCCTAGTGGTTGGTCGCGACCGCTTGGCAGCGAGAGGGAGGTTGCGACCCCCCAACGTTCTTAATTTGGTCGCAACCATCCTACATTGAATTGGCTATGACGGGCCTCCTGCGAGGATGGCAAGCCGATCAGGGTGATTGAAGCATGGTGAAAGGCTGTCATATAGAAGATGAAAGGGATACAAACAGCCTGCAAGGGCAATGGGAGCATTTTCCAAGGCATGCACGGAGGATGGTTCCGCCCAGCCTCAACGGAGTGGTTAGAACCACCCATCCGCCAGAATGATTTTTCCTGGGCTAAACAGTGCCGATCTACAAGCGAGTAGCCCGATACAAACAGCTGGCAAGGGTAGCTGGAGGATTCGCAAATGGGTGAGGAAAGGGTGGTTCCGCCCAGTTTCAAATGTCAGTGGTCGGAACCACCCACTTTCCCAATATGTGCTTTCTGGGCCTACAGCCCCCCTGCGGCCGGGCACAGGGTCCCGGAGTATATATACGGTAGGTACGCATCCATGGATCCCTGAGACAAGCTGGATTGCGCAAAGAAGCAGCCTAGAGCAGTAATGGGAATATTTCGAAAATTTTCTTTCCTGGCCTACGGCCGGCCCTGGGACCGGGCCCAGCATTCCTGCCTTGCGATGAGCTAAACAGTGCCTATCTACAAGCTAGTAGCCCGATACGAACAGCTGGCAAGGGTAGCTGGAGGATTCGCAAATGGGTGAGGAAAGGGTGGTTCCGCCCAGTTTCAAATGTCAGTGGTCGGAACCACCCACTTTCCCAATATGTGCTTTCTGGGCCTACAGCCTCCCTGCGGCCCGGCACAGGGTCCCGGAGTATATATACGGTAGGTACGCATCCATGGATCCTTGAGACAAGCTGGACTGCGCAAAGAAGCAGCCTAGAGCAGTAATGGGAATATTTCGAAAATTTTCTTTCCCGGCCTATGGCCGGCCCTGGGACGAGGCGCAGCATCCTCGGCTCGGTATGGGCTATATTCCGTACCCATGTACCGGTCAATCAGCTATATGGCCTGTACAAGCAGCCTGGAGTGGAAATGGGAGCATTTTCGAATTTTTTTTTCCCGGCCTACGGCCGGCCCTGGGACTGGGCCCAGCATTCCGGCCGTGCAATAGGCTGAATAGTGCCTGTCTACATGCTAGTAGCCCGATACAAACAGCTGGCAAGGGTAGCTGGAGGATTTGCAAATGGTTGAGGAAAGGGTGGTTCCGCCCACATTCCGCTCCCCTGGGTCGAAACCACCCACCAGAGCGAGCGCGGGGTGGTCGCAACCACATGCGGTCGGGACCACCACTGGTGCCGCCACGGGTCAAATAAAGGTCCTGACCACCAGGAGCTGAATGGGGATGGGTGCGACCAACTGGCGAAAACTGGTCGAGACCGCCCTTTTTCAGTGGTCCAGATGGCCTGGCTACCCGATTTGGGAAGGGTGGTTGTAGCCAAAAAGCGGTTGGTCTGAGACCACGAAGTGGTCTTGGACCCTCTTAAGGCTAAAAAACGACCACTTTTGGTACCCTATTAGGGTCACAGACCATACTGACTGGACTGGATGTCGACAGTCTCTAGCGCACCTTCTTGAGCTAGAGGAGTCGCACATGGAGCTCAGTGATCGCACAGATGCTCTGTATGCCTCGCTCAACCTTCATGAAAATTTTCCTCAGCTGGTTGGCCTGCCTGGTGATTTTGTGAAGACACTTTTGGTTTTGCATGATCTCAAAATCAGTATCCGGAAACGCGCTGTGGGATCATTCTACGAGATGGAAACTTTGGATCGTGCGGTTGGAGGGCAAAAGGAGGCACTTGGTAAATTCTCTTCCAAGTCAGCTAGAAAACTACTCAAGTTCTGTCTGCTCAGGAACGAAGCTTCATCAGCAGACTCGCAAAGCAATGGCAAAAAGACACCCGGTCCTCTATCGACAGATCACCCGCTTCAATTCACTATGCGAGAAGATTGGAAAAGATCTTCCTGCTGACTGTAATCTTCCTATTCCAGCCCCGCTTCCTACGCGACTGGCTGCGCTCCGAAATGACATGACACTATACGAGGATGTCTGTGTTGTTCCTGCCATGGACTGTGTTCCTCGTTGGATTGAGGACTCTGATGTCCGGGATGGCATTCAGAACATGCATGTTTTGGATCGGTGTATGGAGGAGATGGACCGGCTCAACGCTGAACGAGCCAATCTACAACAATCTCTGCATCAAAATGCCGAAGTTCTTCGCCGATGCATTAGCAGCACAACAGGTTTATGTCTTGTAATCCTGGACTCAATTTTTCTTCTCATGTGTCTCCACAGATGACACACTTTTATATTTTCTTCATAGGTTTAAAGATCAACATCTACGGCGCGAGAAGAGATGGAAAAATGCCTTTGGTGTGTATACCCTGAGCCCCCAACTCGGAGGCTACATCAAGATTGCTGCTGCCTACAATCCGTTGCCATTGTTGAGCAATATCCCGAATGCAAACTCTGGTCTTTCTCACTTGGGTAGCAATCAGATTCAGATCGGAACTGCACCTCCAGTGCCATCTGATCCGATTTCAGCTCAGATTTCTTCCCCTCCTGTTTGTCCCACCGCCGCACTACAGGCCAGTTATCACGGAAATTCGATGATTCTGCCGTTCTCAGAGTGGACCCAGGTCCCATCTCCACCGCCTTCATTTCTCACGCATGCAGATCCATCTGTGGGGAGATCGGTTCCACAGCCCTTGCTCTTTCCACCGTCGCAGTCCCCAAATCTTCAAGGAGATGCGTCCAACTACGAGGACCTGAGCTGGTCTTCAAACACTCACGGAGACGTCTCTGATATCGACGATTCGATCGAATATCTAGAAGCGGCCAGTGACGATGAAGCTATTGAAATCCTCGAGTCTATTGAGGATTTAGAGCTTGAAGATGCAAATGACACATCCTTATTTGATATCAGTCAAGTCAGACTGGACATCAAGTGGGGTGATTGGCCAGTGCGTACTTCCAGAGCATCTGCGTTGCATTTCTGACCAAAATAGAATCTTACATTTGACGTGAATCTCTTTCAAGACCTTCAATGTCGCAACAGGGAGTTCAAGAAATTCTCGGCTGACCTTCCACATGTCATTACACATCCTCGTGGTAAATCAAAAATCACCATAGAGCCCGAGGATCTGGCTCACTTCTGCAATCCTCGAGGTCTGCTTAGCGGACATGGGATTAACGGAGTAGCCGCATCGCTTCAGACATTATTTCTGGGCCCGTACTCTCCATACGCTAATCAGGCGCAACGTTGTGCTCTGTTAAGCATGTACGAGCTTCCCCGGATCCGAGGACAGACACCAGATTCGTTCCTCTGGAAGGAGCTTGAGCCGACTCAGTACTGGGAAAAAGACATCTGGATCTTGCCAATTCATCGACCAACGCAGAGGCACTGGGTTATGGCTGCAGCATTTGTAAGCGAGCAAACAATCTATTTTTTCGACAGCCTTTCTCAGAAGGGCGGATTCCGGAAAGAGCTCAAGGTCTGTGTCTTTTCTACACAGACCAGGCTCTTTTTGATTGTTCACAGGAATTTATGGTTCTCATCTCGCGGATGATTGTACTTGCAAATTGACATGATAAGAATCTGCTTGTTTCCGCAGATGGCTGGTCTGCGCAACCGCTTTTTCAAGTTGTGCGTGAAACTCTTTCATTTCGACTTCGACAAATTCTTACTCTTCATGCACAGGGTCAGCCGTGACAAACAAAACAACTACGACTGCGGGGTGTGGATCTTGGCTGTTATGGGAGCTCTACTGCGCGGCTCTCTGCTTCCCGAATGAACTGAGAATGAGGTTGGTTTAGCTCGCCTAACCTTAGCTGAACATGTACGAACATTGCCAATGATATGACGATGTGATATCTGTATACCTCCGTCTTCAGATCGCATATTCAAGCTCCGAGTCTGATATCTAAAGCGAAAGAAACTGGAGATAGTACAGATGAATGATGGTACGTGCAGTCCAATGAGCGTAGTCCTGAAGCATTCGCAGCTCCCGGGATTGGGTGGCTGGATGGTAGTGTCCCTCAGACAGTGTAAGGGCAACTCCTGCCAGCCCGAAGGAAGAGAGCACACAGCACACAACAACCTCACATGAGTCTGAGCACAGAGGGGGATCCTTAGAGACTATCAAATACAAGGGAGGTATGCTACTCACCTGAGCACAGAGGGGGATCCTTAGAGAACGGTTCAAGGATCCATGTGCCCAGGTGTCACACTATATAGTCAGCTGTGACAAGTGACTGATGATGATGGGATATCACTGCCATGGAACAATGGCAGATGACAAGTAGATAATGACAAACCCAGATAAGATAGTGAGTGGCTCAGAGGGGCCAGTGATGGCCAGCTCCTGAGACACCAACAGTGGAAGGCCACACTGGAGGAGCCCAGCGGCCAGGCCAGTGCGGGGCCAGCCAGTGGAGACATTGGAGGCGAGGACCAATGCCCAACTGGGAAGAGGGGTGGTGCGGATGAGCGCAAGGGCATCTGGTACGAGCCTGTACGGCAGTAGACCACATCCGCGGGGAGAAGGCCGAAGTGAAGGGGGAGGAGTGCATACGGCAGTAGCACTCCCTGGTGCAAGGAATCGGGCTTGGCTAGATCGCTTGCGGGGATTCGAGGGAGATGGCCGGGGGAAGAAGGGAGAGGGCGGATGTCGGCATGGATGGAGATGAGGATCGGAGGAGGAGGAGGAGGCTGGGTGATCGACAGGTGAGCAGGCACGGGTCGGCAGAGAGGGTGCAGTGGGTCACGTGCATGGTCACATGCCCAAGGAGCGCGGCGTCCCCTGACAGACAGAAGGATTTGGATGTGATCCCAATCCCTGTACTCGATCTCCAGCTTGTGACGCAGCACCTTGAGGAGTGCTTGTCGTTTCCGCCCTTGCCACTGCAAGGACAATACTGGGATGCGCTGCTGCTGCTCCCGTAGTCGTACACCATGCAGCACAGCCGAGAGTGAGGCAGTATACTCGAGGTATTCAGTGGAGAGAGGATCTGCGGGGTCGCTGTCTGCTTCAAAGGGAGGTATCTTCTTCCACCGAGGCAGATCGCTTTTGTCCAGGTTATCTGGCGATTGGAGCGCCTCCTTGAACAGAGGGTGATCAGACGGTAGAGCTTGTTTTGCTTCTGTGAGCATTGCGGGTGTTGGAGGAGCAAGGCCAGGAACACATTCAAATACTTTGGCTGTCTTCCGGCGGTTCACAGTGCGAGGCTTTTGTGCCCGAGCAAGTTTCACACTGAGCATCTGTAAGTATCCAGCCCCCAAATTCGATACGATTAGCTCAAGGGACAGACCTGGGCTTGCTAGCATATCGTAGACTGCTTTCCCGACCAGCCACAGCCTTCTGTGCTTGCGTTGAGTGAGTGGAGGAACGACCCATTGATGAGGTCAATAGAGAAGAGGTGTTACCGTAGCGTTTGTTCGAGTGATCATGGCCATTTTGTGCACAACGACTTCGATGTAATCAGTTTCATCTGGGTAAGTTATATGTTATGCGGGCATGTCCCCTGAATGTATTCCGATGGTTTCTAACATTCCCAGCAGGGAGGAACCTTGCAAAGACATTGCTCTAGAAATGTTGACCGCTATATGAACACTGATTGGCTGCCTAGTATGTCCACTCCGATGTCAATCAATCATCAATCACAAGTGACGCAACGCTCATTGAAATGCAGAGCATCGGTGATAGGCTGGCTACCAGACGCACTCTGCACCAGCTCTGTAAGGGCGTATTTTTGCGCTTTTTACAGAGTTTACTCTTGAACCATTCGGTGTATCGTGTCGCGGTTGACAGTGTTGCGCTCAGTAGGACTTATGGGTCTACTGCCCAGTCGACGACTGTGGATAGTGTCGACAATAGCAAGGCAGTCAGACCACTACTGTGGAACTGGTCTTATGAGTCTACACCAGGCTCAGGGCCATTAGTGACGAACGCTTGGACCGCGACCATTCCCCAAAAAGGGATCTGTTGTTGCGTCGACTTCTCAAAAAGGGTCATTCTCTGCAGATGGGAACTTGGGCTGAAGGGCTGAGCAAGGCGCGACGTCCTCAATAATAGAACTACTACTGGACAGGACTTGGCGTTACGAGACTTAAACCATCTTGTCGCGGCAACTCCCGGCCTTGAGTTGGACGTTTCCTCAGATCATGCCACGACGACGACTTGTCACATGTCAGGATCCATTCGATCACGGGACACTGTGGACGCGTCGCGGTGACACTTCCAAGTGTCACGGCGAGTCGCGCCCATACCCAAACACACTCAAAAGCGACACGGGCTAGATCCGTGAACTGAACCATGTGAGGCAACAGCTGGTGTGCCTAGGGCCATACGGCTTCTTGGGGCACCCATGTTGGACTCACTTGCCAAGACATACCCGTTGGCCAATCCAACACGTCGTATTCCAAAAGTATGACGCGGCGAGTTGGCCCACATCAAAAGTATCATATGGACAATGGGGCGGGGTCCTGATCACTCAGGACCTGTCCGATCGTCCAACTTTTCAATTACTCTAAAAGGAAACTGATCTTAGATAGCGTAGCTACTATGCAGTTGTACAGGACTTTACTAAGCATCGTCGTAGACAGTATAAGTAGCACGTCGTTTCTTTGTATTAGAAGCTTTCCCCCGGACTGTGAATCACTCTCATTTCAGATTGTTTTGTACAATTTGCGTGCCGCATGATTCCACCCTAAGAAGTTCTGCTACCCCTGCCCGGTCGTGACGAGTTGCTCCCTGAGCACTTGTAGCTACTGTGATTTGAGTTTGAGTTTTGAGAAATCAGAAAGTCGGATTCGCTGCATCTGGTTTAGTCGCGGCACTTAGTGTCGTCGCCTTTGAGCTTTGTTGAGATCGTTCCACACCTCTAGCTTGGCAGTGCGTCGACTAGTTGTGCTCGGGTTGTTTTGGTCAGTTGGCAGTGCGTCGACTTGAGAACTTTGGTTCCACACTTCTTGCTTGGCAGTGCGTCGACAAGTTGTGCTCGGGTTTTGGACATTGGATAATGGCTGTTAGTTGGCAGTGCGTCGACGCGGCATTTTGGTTTACTAGTTGGCAGTGCGTTGACTCAGTACTTTTGGTTGTGTCAGTTGGCAGTGCGTCGACTTGACATTTGGGCTTTGCGTCACCATCTAGACGCTGTCGCTACAAGGGATCTTAATACTTCGTATTAAGTTCCGACTTGTTATATTGTTGGTTGTGGATTGTATTAGTGTTGGTTGTGCTCGTATAGAAGATATTGGTTGAGATACCATTGTTTGCTATATATATATCCTTGTCGTCGACTCCGTCTCCGCAACTATTGGATCTGCGTCTATTGAGAGTTGTGATACTGGTGTTCTGTCCACCCCGAAGCCCTCGCATCTTTCACACACTGAGAAGCTGATTACGAGGAGTGTGAACGTGTTTATATTTGGGTTTACTTTCATAGTAGATTCACTTGTGAGCACGCCCTCAGCATTTCATCGGTCCCAGATTTCCCGACCCTCTGCAAAAGAACTGCACACCAACATCTGGAATATGACAGGGTGCTGCCGCAAAATAAAATCATGTTGATTTTGATCAAGCGCAAGGGCAGGAGGAAAGTTGATGGCTCTTTGTACAGCCCTTTTCGTCCTCTTTACACCATCATACCGTGCATTGTGAATGTAAGTCGCGCTCATTAACCGTGAAAACAAGTTCACACTCACACCAATCAGTATTCCTCATCCACAGCTCCCACAGAAACGCGTTGAACGCGCTTAAACGTGTCAGACGATGCACATCTTAGTATGTACATCCTGACTCTTCACCCTCTTGCCTGCTCACATTTTGGCGGCAGCGATGGACGACAATCCTGAATTGACTCGACCACTACAATTTCCAAGTCCTCCCCCAACTTTTGCAACACTCCCGGATGTCCCGCCTAGCTCTTCGCCCGCCTACTCGGAAGACAATCATTGGGCCCTCTCTCGAGTCTCCGATCTCGACACAGCTCCTGAATCACTCGATACCCGATACTGGGCGGAGCAGATGGGAGTTCCAGAGGGAATGTTCGTCGATTACCTGAATGTGGTGCCGCAGCAGATGGGAGGAGGGCCGAGGTACGAGGAGGGTGAAGAGATGTACAGGGAGATTGAGCAGGAGGGTGGAGGTCCGACACTTCGACCAAAGATGGCGCTCTCACCAACAAAAGTAAATCCAGAGCTCGAGGCAATGGCAGCGCAACGGGCAGCAAGGCATCAGCAGGAGGAGGAGGAGAGGCAGCATTGGGAGGAGGAAGAGGGGCAGTATCGGGAAGAAGGGGAGGGCATACAGCGTCCAGCTGTTCAACAGGTATGTTAACAGTTGTATCCGAAGCAGAGAGAATCCTAAATGTTTCTCTATCCAGCACTTGTATTCGCTGCTGCCCAGTTTGTATCTGCCTCCATCACGGCCCTCCTCGCGTCCATCTCCTGCGTTCAACCCACCCACTCGCAGCATGCCCCCTTCTCATCCGGCATCAAAAAGTGGCTTGCACCGTGCACCATCGGCAGCCAGTTCACGACAGTCCCCATCTGCAGCACCCTTGCATCGGCCAGCATCAAGGCAGGCACCCTCCGTTCACGACATAGCGGAGGGTATGCTTCTGCTCAAAAAGCGCGTAGTTACACCCCACCCTCCATCGGCTCCGCCAATTGTAGTTGCCCCTGATGCATCTGCGTCACACTTTGTCAATCCACAATCAACGCTCCTCCATCCGGATCCCCCAGAACTGCCCGTGATCCCGGAGACTGCAGACGAGGAGCAGGCAATGTCGGAGCATGACGCAAAGGAGAGGCGACAGGAGAAGGGGAAGCAGAGGGAGGAGTATCAGAGCGAGAACGGAGACGAGGGGATTGACAACGTGTTTGGTGACAAACCAGATGAGATCTTTGACGCGTTGGAGACGATGCTTGACGGGACCTTCAACGATGGGGAGTTCTCCGACCCCAACACCACCCGCTATGGAGAGCGAATGACGAACGAAGCCCACGAGAAGCTTGTGGAAGGTCTCCGTTGGTTGCTGGCTTGTGTGGGCTACATTGGCGAGCTCAACGACATCTCGAGCAAGCACATCATGCGTCATCTCTGCCAGGCGTTCAAGATTCCCTATTCCCGTTCCCTGAACAACTGGAACAACTTCATGACTCTTTTGGCACCAATCGGGAGCGCTTTGCAAAGCTGCTTCCTCAATCTGTTGAGCCGGACCTCGAGTACTCCCAGCAGGTGAAGCTGGCCTGGGTCGAGTTCCAAAAGACGCCCAGATGGCAGGAGACCTTGGACAAGTGGCGAGAGCTCAATTCTGTTACGCTGGAGCAGACAAAATCGGAACGTGCGGGCGACTTCCGCAAGTACATCAAACTGTTCAAGTCACTGGTATGTACCATCACCGATGCATCTGCGCGACTACTAATACAATATGCTTTAGTTTGGTTACATGCATAGCAGGTTGCGTTTGGACGCAAAGATGTACTTGACCGGCGGTCTTGTTGGTACTGATGGCAAGCTGGCTTGTGTCATCTCGACTCCGCCTCTGGACGATGAACATGTAGGTCTTCCAGTACTGTAACTGAAACGTTCTCTAACTTTTGAGCAGTTTGCGGAGGAGGTTGGGCTCAAGGCTGGTGGATCGCTTAGCGACCAGAGCATTCTTGATGTTGCATCTGTGCATTCATAGTAAGTCATCTGTCATTGTTTTGAACTTAGTTCTGAACTGTTTCTAGCCAGTTCCACATGCACGACAACTACCACCAGGGTGATGGCAAAGCCGTTGTGCGCCAGCGACCGTCGCCACCACTGCCTGCAGAAGGATCGGACCTTCGGCCGCCGAGTCCTCCTCTTCCTCCCGGTGTACAACAGAGGACTGTGTCGGGGGCGTTATTTGTGTATACAAAAAACGGAGAGCGGCGTCCAGTCATAATCAAGCCCGAAGTCAAGGATCTCGACTCTGAGGACAATCGCAGCAGGATCCTCACCATCAAGCGTGAGGCTGAGCGACAAAATTTTGTCAACGTTGCCTTGTTTGATCTTGGCTGCCAGCCAATGGGATCCGTGACCGGAATCGTATGGGCAGCAATGCCACAGTTGCTGTTGGCAAACCGATGCATCTGCTTTGGGTTCCCAAGCCAAGTTCGCACCTCTGGATCGGAAAGGGCGTTGAAGGACTTCCGGGGCTCTGGGAACTGGGAGGCGACGACGCTGAAGTGGTTTCAAATGGCATTTCAGTTGCGTACAAGCGAGAACTGGTTCCCTGGGATGGGGCTCTGTTTCATGGAGAAACAAGTCAAGCCAGGTGCGTTTTTTATCCTGTAGATGCATCTGCGCAAGTCTGACAAGATCACAGATGGTATTCAAATATTCACGCATGACTACCGCGAGACTCTTGACCCGAACGCCACCCCCAATGAACTACGCAAATTCTACCTCACGTCGAATGATTGCTGGGTCTACGGTGAAGACACCAAGGGCCGACCGCGCTTGATCAAGTACGATTGCCGTGGGAATGACTGGATCATTGAGCAGAAGCCAGGTATCTTTGCCTGCAATCCTCAGGAATGGTACCGTGGAAAGGGTGCCGGCTACGGTGCTGCGACTTGGGAGGACGACGGGGTCAAGCTAGGTGGAACTGCGTTGAGCGAGGAGGAGGAGGAAGAAGTGCCGAAAGGCAAGGCCAAGGGTAAGGCCAAGGTGAACATCAAGGTAGAGAAAGACATCGTGAAGGCAGAGAAAGAGGTTGCGAAGGCAGAGAAGGCTGCGATAAAGGCTGGAAAGGCGGAGAAGGCAGCAGCAGCAAAGTTGGAGAAGGCGAGGAAGGCAAAGGAGGCTCGGGAGAAGAAGGCCCTGTCAAAGCCGGTTCCAAAACCCAAGAGGAAGAAGGCAACTGGGTCGAAACGCAAACAGGGCACTTCTGACGAAGATTCCGCCGAAACGTCTGACTCTGTTGAGTCTGAAGATGAGATCATGGAGTTGCCAGCAGATGCCCAAACCCACGACAGCGAGGACAATGGCAAATCGATACCCGCCACTGAATCACCCATCTCCACGACCCCTGTTCGCACTCTGCGGTCGAATTCTCGTGCAGTGATCACATCGGGCACAAAGGGCAGAGCATCTGCGGTCGGTACCCGATCATCTGGACCATCGCAAGTTCAGCAAGTCAAGAAGGTAGTCACCTCGCGCAAGCCTCAGCCTGTCACATCCCGACGGCGGAAGCCTGTCAAATCTGCGGAACTCATTCCGTCGGACGCTGAAGACGATGTCGAGCAGGTGCAGCCACCGGCAAAGAGGGCAAAGACAAGGGTTGTGGCACCAAGCTCCGACATCGCGGAGGAAGACGAGCAGTCTGGCGGCGGTGGGCCTGATGAAGCCAAGTCCTTTGATCCGAAGCCGCCTCATGAGCCCTCCAGTCCAACACCAACCGATGCTCTGTTGGCTGTTCAAGGCCAGCGGGAGCTACTTCGGCAGCCTGGTGCAGATATGAGGCGGCAGCTGGATGCTGCAGAAACGGGGCCTGACTACTACAACGTTACCCCCAGCACTCCTCCAGGCAGCAGACGTGTTGCTACGGTATGGGATCGTATGTTCATTCCCTTTCTTGACTTTCCATTTCTGACCTTGGGGCATTCAGATTCTTGTTCAGACCGTCCCGCTGGTGTACTTCGCCATGGGCCTGGAAATGCCCAGTGGCTAGTTCCGACAACCATCTCCAAGGCATCTGCTTCCCCTCAACCCAGCTTACACTCAGCCTTTGACGATCAGAATCAGCCGGAGGATGAGGATCGCTTTCTGGAGCAGCCTCAATTTGGACGCCATCACGCTCAGCCGCAGACGCATCTGTGGGATTCCGGACCACCAATGGAGCGCACATCTCTGAGTCGGCAGCCTCAAGTTCGACCAGGGATGCACCTGCAGGATTCCGGCCTACTTCTGGAGCATATATCTCCGAGTCGGCGCCATCAAGTTCGTCCACAGATGCAACAGCCACATCCCACTGCACTTTCCCGAGGCCTCCCACCTCCAATTCCTCCGCGAGGCCCACCTCCACCAATTCCGCCTCGCCCACGTCCTCGTTCTCAAGCAATTCCGAGACCTGCTCCTACCCCAGCACATTCTTACGACGATTACCAGGATGTGCAGGACACTCGTTGGGACTTCCAAGGCCCATATTCTCGTGAGTATGAGGGGCAGGACGAATATGAAAGTTCGGAGGCTGGCTACACGCAGCAGGAGAGGTATCACAGCCGTGGGCGGTCTCCTACACTGCTGCCGCCGCCGCAGATCCATTGGCGCCTTGTTCCGCCGCAGTCAGGATGGCAAGCAGGCGCTCCGAATTACTCCAAAAGGCCTGTTGCATCCTCGTCTCGCTCAGGCTCTGCTCGGCGAATTGATTCAAGTCGAGCCCAGGCTTTGCCTTATCCGCAGATGCATCGGCCTCCGATTCACTCAGCAAATTCGCCAGCTCCATCTGAGCAATCGGTCGCATCTTTGTCTCACCCACGGGCTGCTCCACCAGTGCAAGCAACTCAGCAACAACTCCTTGCATTTCTGCAGGGATTGAGCCAAGAGGAGCGTCTTGTGCTGATGTCAAAGCGGTGATTTTTCTTTCTACATCCATGCATTCCCCATCTTGTGTACCACTATCAATACCCTCTACATCATCATCTAATCACTATCGAATCGACACACCTCTACAGACCTTCTTTTCCTTGTAGTTGGTATTACCTTATTGTGCAGACAATACAACACTTTGCCTGTAATGAATTGTTCTGAGCTGGAAGAATCGGTCATTAGTGAATTTGCTAATACAACAGCTGGAATGATTTGTAGTGTACCGATGCTATGCGTAGAATGGCCAAAAATGCTTGCCATGAATCCAGATGATATGTGCGTACACATGGAATAATAGCCATCAAGATCTAATTTAATGCACCAGATGAGCTGCAGATGACACCGTACTGCAGACGCGCTCCCCCCTCTAAGGCCCCTTAATCGGTCGAAAAACCCCCCCCTTAGAGGGTTGACAGCATCTGCGGCAGATGCTCCTTAGGTGCAAGAAGGACCAGAAGAAAACTACGCAACTGGAACGTCTTGCCCATCACACCAATCCCCACGGCGAACCGATCCTCCCTTTCCTTAACCCCCCATGGGGCCAGACAGCAAGCAAGTTTGGTGATCGCATGCGGCTAGAAAAATCCTCGAATGGGGTGGAGAAGGAGGAGGCTGCAGAGAGACACAAGGAACGGATAAGTGCTTTTGCGGACAATCCCGAGCACCTTCTGGCCTACTCTGATGGATCCCTCAGGAAACTACACGGGATGCGACGTGTTGGAACCGGAGTGGTTGTCTACCAAGAAAACACCGAGATTTTTGCGGAGTCACAAGGCCTTGGCGGCCGCGCAGAGGTGTACGATGGCGAGATGGCTGGACTATGGCTGGCAGCTGGGATCACAACAGCGATGGCAACAACTCACACAAACATAAAGCATCTCCACTTCTACGCCAACAACACATCTGCCCTGGCGACGATCTTTGACCCAAAACCTCAAGCCAGACAACTATACGCACATCAGTTCCACAAGGCCATCTGTGGATTCCTCAAGGGCGACCCACAAAGGACAGTAGAGATCGCGTGGTCCCCGGGGCATTGCAACATCGAGGGCAATGAACGCGCAGACAAACTGGCAAAGAGCGGTACCAAACTTGCAGCACCAACACTCACCACTCGAGCGTTCACTCTGAGACAGTCGAAAGAGAGGATACAACATGCTTGGCGATGGGAATGGAAACGCAAACTCAAGTCCGGCCACTACGCAAAGGCAAATCGCATCCCACCCTCCCTGAAGCCAACACAACACTTCACGGAACTCAGCAGACAATGGGAATTATTTGGAAGGGTGATACAGTGCAGGACGGGACATGGATACCTAGGCAAGTTCTACCAACGCTTCAATATTCCCGAGGACGTTGACTGCCCATGCGGAGAGCCAATCCAAACACAAGATCACGTCCTACGATGGTGCCCACTGTACAACAAACACCGACCCATCATCCGCGCGACATCAGCTAACTTTTACGAAGAAATAATCCTTGGCATGAAAGAAGGCATCGTCGCTTTGGCCCAGTTCCTGAAAGATTCAGGAGCCTTCACCCGAAGCGGACACCCATGGAAGGACTGCGACCTCCCCACACTCATCAACGAACCGGACCCAGAAATCTCGGAAGACGAAGAAGACGAGAACGGATAGTTCATAACAACGTGGCCCCGACCGGCTATGGCCAAGCCCATGTCGCAGACAATACCGCGCAGTGGAAATACGACCAGTAGCGATCACCTAAAGACACAGAGTCTCAGCGAGTGTAAGACACAGGAGCTATACATTAGCTGTACCTAAAGACACAGAGTCTGTGGTACAAGTCATAAGTAATGGTCATTAGATCGTAAGGGAGAATGCATACCTCAGCGAGTGTAAGACACAGGAGCTGAGGATATGGAGCATACAGTACTAGGTTTATATACCAGTCTGGAGCAGATATCATGATGTCATAGTGGAGTAATGATATCATAGATGAGTAATGGATGACGCAATAATGAGGTCAGGTATGAGGTCATTGTGGAGCGAGCCAAAGTAATCTAAGAATACTACTTATGATGTCATGTCTACATACTGTGATAGTCGCTAATACAAACAAGCTTCAACACTCCCACTCGACTAAACAGTCGGATCACGAAGACCCAAAGACAGCCGATGTTGTTGGAACTTCACCCATGCCAAAGACTTTGTGAGCGTGTCAGAGATCATGGCATCAGTCGGCACATGGTAAAGTTGGACATTGCCAGCTTCGACGGATTCTCGTACAAAGTGATAGCGGATGTCGATGTGCTTCATCCTCCTATCATGAACTGGATTTACTGCCATAAAGATAGCGCCTTGGTTATCAACGCAAAGAGGCGTGGATGGCAAGTCATATCCGAGCTCAGTCAACAAAGTGCGGATCCAGGCAATCTGGCGTGTAGCATCGCTCAGAGCCATGTATTCGGCCTCTGTTGAGGACAAAGCGACCGTGGGTTGGCGTCTAGAAACCCAGGTCACTGCACAACCGGCAATGAAAAAGGAATATCCCGTGGTGGAATGCCTGTCGTCTTTGTTCTCTGCCCAATCAGCATCGGAATAACCGATAAGGCCTGCGCCAGTGGAACCATCATAGCAAAGTTGGTAGTTTTTGGTGCCCTGAAGGTACCGGAGTATGTATTTTGCCATGTTCCAATGATGTTCTGACGGGTTGCTGTTGAACTTTGAAAGACGGATGACTGCATAGGCAATGTCGGGGCGTGTACCAAGCATGGCATAGAGAAGACTGCCAATCATCTGCTGGTAACGAGTACGACGGTCTTCATCAACTTCTCCATCATGCTTCTCAAGCACGATGCCGGAAGGCAGGGGAGTACGAGCTTCTTTACACGAAGACATCCGGAAATGTTCTAGAACTCCTTCGATATAAGAAGTCTGATCGATCCAGATTTCACGCGCTTTGCGATCACGAACTATGTTCAGACCAAGGAAATCCTTCGCAGGACCGAGATCCGTCATTTTGAAGCGGTTCGCGAGCAAGGATTTGATACGCGCTATCTCCGGCAGATTGTTGCCCATAATAAGCATATCATCAACGTACAGCACCAAGATGATGACCGTATCTCCCATTTGTTGGCGATATGTGTAGACACCGGCGTCGGAGTATGTCCGAGCAAAACCAAGTTCGAGGAGGGCATTGTGGATTTTGATATTCCACTGACGAGACGCCTGTTTCAACCCATGGAGTGATTTACGAAGGCGTGCCACTTTTTCTTTTGGCCATGACAAGAAACCTTTGGGTAATTCCGGAAGTTCCATATAGATTTCTTCCTCCAGATCCCCGTTTAGGAATGCCGTTTTGACATCCATGGCATGAATCTCCCAATCTTCGAGAGCAGCCAGAGCCATAAGTATGCGCAAGGATTCGTAGCGCAATACTGGCGAGAAGGTCTCATCACAGTCAAACCCATGAACCTGAGTAAATCCCTTGGCAACAAGTCGTGCTTTGAAACGAACGTCACGCTTCCTGCTAAACACCCATCTGCATTTGACAGTCTTTCGACCGCGTGGAAGGCTGGTCAAATCCCAAGTACAGTTTTCCTCGAGAGAGTCCAATTCTTCGCGCATCGCGCGCTCCCACCTGAGTGCCTCCGGGCTCTTGGCTACGTCCCGCACGTTCTGAGGCAAGTCATGTTCAGCTTGAGCAGCTGAAAGCATAGACTCAATGCTGCTAGGCCTCTGATACGTAGTTCCATCCGGCAAAATGCGGGGCTTATTCCGACGAGGGCGGCGATGTGCAATCGGGCGATCGTCTATTGGGCCAGGCATTAGGGGTACTTCTCGCGATCCCGTGACAGGACCTTGTTGCGCGAGGGGTGCCGGGGGCGGTGGAAGAGCAGGGGGTGGTATGCTTGCATAAGGTGTTGCAGGCGCAGGATTATTGATAAGGTCAGGGAAGCTTTCCTCAAATGGTGTGAACGGCTCCGGTCCAGAGGACACATTGCCGGTGACTAGCTTGGACTTGGCAGGGAATACTCGCTCATCGAACTCGACGTTTGAAGAGATTCGTATCTTGCGTTGATTCGGATCCCACACTTTCCAAGCTTTTGTCTCTCGTTCGTATCCAACGAAGATGTGGTCGGGGCGTCCATGCTCCAACCCTTTCGGGCGTTTTTCAACATCCACATAGAGAGACGCCTTGCATCCAAACACACGGAAATAAGAGACGTCTGGCTTCTTTCCAAGCCACAGTTCCGCAGGTGTTCGCCATCCCAATCGTGCCATAGGTTGTCTATTATGAACGTGGACAGAGGCATCCATAGCACATTGCCAGAAGCCTTTGGATAGGCTGGCATCGAGGCGCATGCATTCCGCTTTCTCGTAGGCTGTGCGATTCCAACGTTCAGACCTCCCATTTTGCTGTGGTTCGCGTGGCGCGGACTTAGGGTGCATAATACCACGTGCATTGAGCCAGGCTGTGAGTTCATCGGACATGTATTCGCCTCCACAATCTGACCGGAAGGCCAGTACTTTTGTGCCGAGCTGACGCTCTACAAGGGCAACAAAGTTTTTAATTGCGGTAGAGGCTTGGTCCTTTGATTTAATGAACACCATCATGCCAAAGCTCGAGAAATCGTCGTAGAACGAAATTGTGTAGCGTGAACCTTCCAACAACTGAGTAGGCCAGGGGCCCATCAAATCAGTGTGGATAAGCTCGAGGGCTTTGCTAGCACGTTTCTCTGATGCAGGGTATGGATGGTTGTGCTGTTTTCCAAGCATACATCCATTGCACATGCCGCGCTGGTCTTTATTGCGTCGCAAGGGGGGAACACCTTCAACTTGTGTTGGCAAGTGAGTAAGGGTCCTCCGAGCCGCATGACCAAAACGCTTATGCCACAATTCACGATCGGTAGTTTCCAGGGAAGCGAGCGCGGTAGACTCGTGAGATGCAGACACAGATGGTGCCACGAGCTCCTCGGGGTAGTACCAGTAGCAGCGATTGCTTGCTTTAAAGGTCATCAAGACATCCCCATGCGCTTTTCCCTTGTTGAGCCAATCCTTGGTGACTAGGATTGCCTTGTTGTCACCAACCACGGTGTAGTAACCAGCCTGATCGAGCGCATACCCAGAAAGATAGCGCCCTCTTATGTGCGGGTTGTAGATGACATCCTTCAGCGTGAAGGTGTAGTCCATGCCACTACTAGTATGACCCCGCAACACAATATCTCTCAATGGCTTCATTCTTGAAGCGAGCTCCCGACCCAACGACTACATAGGTGTCGATAGGTCTGATGTTGTGAAGATCGGATCGGGTGTTTGTCATATGATGTGTACAACCCGAGTCCCATAGAAAACGAACTTTGGAGTCGTCTCCCATTTCTTCAACAAAAATTCCATCATCAATGTGTTTGAGGGAGTCACTCATGAGATAGGACGAAATGTGCATTCCATTGGAGGCAGCTGCAACCGCGGGAGCGGCTACAACTTCTTTTACAGCGCTAGTACCATCACCACTCTTCTTCTCCTTCTTCTTTTTCTTCTTCCCCTCATCCTGCTTCCCCTTGCCTTTGTCAGATGATTGACCATTAGGCTTGAGGTTGGGATACTTCTTATAGCAGGATGCCGCAACGTGACCGGACTTGTTACAATGAGTGCAGCGGGTGGCAAGGGACGGAACGGTGGAAATCTTCGAGTTTGACGTCGTGTCGAGGTTCTCGATCTTGATATTCCCAATGACGCTGTTCTTGACATCGACTGGGTTCAGAGAAGCGATAGGACGATTGGCCAGGTAAGAGGTGACGAAACCTCTGCTGGAAGCGGGCAAGGCGGCGAGCATTAGAGTTGCGAAGAGGTAGTCGGGGATCTCGATTGCTCCTTCTGAACACTGGCGACGACAAGTCTCCATTTCCATGATTTGTTTTTCAATGGTGTCACCACCGTGGAAGGTGGTGGTGTTCAGGAGGCGGTACTCGACGAAAGCATCAATGGCATTTGGTTGGCCATAATCCGTCGCCATTTTCGCCCAAACTTCGCGCGCAGTGCGCTCCCGCTGACTGTCCATAAAGATTCCTTTGCGCAAATTCTGGGTGATGTAAACCCGCGCAAGACCCAGTGCCTTTTCATTGGCAACGTCCCATTGATTTTGGGAATCCCCAGCAGTTGAAGGACGTTTGACTGCACCGATGTTGGCAGCTGGTGTACCGTTAACCGTGATATAAGAGGGTTTCACAACCCCCCAAGTGCCCTGGTGCATGCATATGCTCATATATTTGTCCGACCAAGTGTTCCAGTTTGTGCCGTCAAAGACGCTCAGGATGGAATTGTTGAGCTTTTCTATCCCGGACATTGTGGGAAGAAATTTGATGACGTCGGCGATGTGGTGGTGGAGAAGAGTAGGTTCGACGTATGGAGGATCTCCAAACAAAAGACAAAGCGCGACAGTGAAATTTCCTTGCACCTGATTGCTGTTCTGATTGTCGATATCACCAACCCGATAGATGTCACCAGTGATGGATTCGATGGGAAGATAGGAGTGTCCAAAAGTCGTCCAAGAGTTAACGGGGTATAGGATAACCCCAACAGGAGGATCGTTTGGTGATGACAGGGTGATAGAGATGAAGACTAGAGCGACAAAGTCAGCCCCAGATTCTCTGCAGACCAAGAAACAAAATCCCGAGTGCCAAATCTCTGAAACGAGAACGACCAAGCGTCCCCATCCCATCCATGATGCCCATATACGTGCGGGGAATGATAATGAAATAAAGCGGTATAGTAAGTGCCCATATTTGTATCAAAGTAACGTAACTATATACGTCAGCGGCGGCAGTACCCGATGGTGATTACTGCCCTCGCAGTCCGTCACTGGCCAAGGGACACGTGCCCAAGGCCGTCCCAAGCACCGGGTTTGGCCGCCCATCTTCTCCCTTTTAAAGACATGCATACACGCAGAGCGTCATTGCATGAATCCTCGTAGTGTCACCAGCCCGCAGGGTCCCTTGTGAGGAATGCGAGTCAACCCCGAAGGATGGTTTTGCCTGGCGGAGGGATTGACCTCCAGCAGCTGTTGAGAGCTACCACACCACCTAGGCGCTTCGCGCAAGGTTCAGGAGTGGGATTGACGAAAGGACCAGTGCCTGGTGGGTATGTCCGCTGTACAATAAAAAGATGTAACATAAAACGCGCGCGAGCAATCATGGACGGAATAGCTAACGGCATGTCTGCCAACTGAATGACTCCCTGATGCCGCTCGCGTAACCCCTTGAGGGTGAGAGCACAAATGCGAGGACCGACATCCAGCAAGTGGGACGAGCGCACAAAGACGGCGCTCTAGAAGGGCTGAACGAGTGAAAGATACTCGCCTTAGTAAAGGGAGTAGTTCGATGTTTCTTGATTTGCCGCTAGTGGTTCAGGCGGGGCCCATAACCTGTCGCAGACAATACCGCGCAGTGGAGATACGACCAGTAGCGATCACCTAAAGACACAGAGTCTCAGCGAGTGTAAGACACAGGAGCTATACATTAGCTGTACCTAAAGACACAGAGTCTGTGGTACAAGTCATAAGTAAGGGTCATTAGATCGTAAGGGAGAATGCATACCTCAGCGAGTGTAAGACACAGGAGCTGAGGATATGGAGCATACAGTACTAGGTTTATATACCAGTCTGGAGCAGATATCATGATGTCATAGTGGAGTAATGATATCATAGATGAGTAATGGATGACGCAATAATGAGGTCAGGTATGAGGTCATTGTGGAGCAAGCCAAAGTAATCTAAGAATACTACTTATGATGTCATGTCTACATACTGTGATAGTCGCTAATACAAACAAGCTTCAACAGCCCACCCCCTCATCCCTCCTCCATCCTATATGCACATGCATCATTACGACGCGCTGGAAACCCCTGCACCGACAACGCCACTCTCAGCCTCGCAAACCCGAAAGCTCTCACCCAAGGAGACCAACATCAACAGTAAACATCCTCACACTTGCGTTCACCTCCCCGCTGCCTTCGGGCACCGCGTCTTAGTACTTAGATACTTGCTGCGGAATACAAATGCAGAATCAAACAAACAAAATACGTTCCCGAGCACCTCCAACAAGGCAATCTGATCAATCATCTGCCGGATTGCTCTCCATCAAGCAGTCGCCTTGGTTTTGGCCGTCGGCAGCTCGGCAAGCAGTGCACCCGATCGGGGCATTATCTGCGGGTCTGACAGCGGCGATCTAGACCGGATTCACATCATTGATGCAATCACGATTAAAGGAATATCAACCGGTGGGTACGAGACTAGTGACGGCTGTCTGTAACCTACATGCTACCCATGGCTGCAAAACCGCAAGTGACGTCGATCAAGGCTCGTTGCTGATGCTCACCGTCCCCATCCTCCGACCCCGTGCCGCTCACCTCAGCCCCATCCACCGTTGCCAAGGACATTTGTGCCATTTTTAGTCCATCCCAAGCCAATTTGGCCGCTTCCCGTGACTTGAGGGAGGGCACCCGACCAGATGGTTGCTGTCCGTCCGCCGGTTAACCGTCTGTCTGTGCTCGCTGTCTCGCTGCTCGGGGAGGCTGTGGCGTGGTCATGGGTGTGATTGTGCAACAATGCCCAGCCCGTTGGGATGACACGACAGCTGGGGGTCATACTCTGCTGACCTTCGGAGTTGACGCGGAAAATCATGGTGGTGCGAGATCTATTTTATGCGTGTGTCTCCGCGGCTCTTAACGCGGGATTCAGGGATAAGTAAGAGGAATTACAACCCCAGCGCAGCAGCAGCAGCGATAGCAGAGAATGCGCCTGGTGAAAACGGGGCTACCTCAAAACTAAACCGCGAATTCCCGGTGCATTTCTCCGCCGTCAAAACCGGATGCACATGAGTGGATACCTTTCCCTAAATCCACATACGAGACACTAGACCGCGGGCCGCTTCTTTCCGTAACGCTACAGCTCCATTCCGCCCCTCAGGAATAATTCCGTGAAGAGCGCTATAAAATGGCTAATAACCTGTCTTTGGCCTCCAGTTTTCTGCCCTCGAAGACTATCTACTCCAGATGCGAACTGCCTTCTTTGCCATCGCTCTCCACCTTCTGGCTGTACGCGACACTTGATCGCCGTGGACGACTACTGACTGGACTCGGCCCCGACAGGTCTCGGCTGCGGTCGTGAAGCGAGCCACTGTGAACGATGTTGCGACTGTTGGCTATGGTGCGCCCACCAAATTCGCGCTTACCGAACGGTGCATGCCAACTTATAATTTGTAGCTACCCTCAACGGAGGGTAATTGGGCCGTCTCATTTCTGGAGTACCAAAATTGATGCAGATTGTACAGAACAACCGGCGGTTCAGGTGGTCCAACGACTACCGTGTCCACGCTTGCCGCCCGTAAGAACCAGCAGAATATCCTCACCGTCTCCATATCCTGATTGAGTCCCCAGTCACATCGGCAGTCACCGGGAGCGCGAAGAAAATTGTGCTGATCTCAGGTATGCCCCATCTCCCTGGATTTTAGCCTCATACAAATCTCTCGTCGACTATTAGGCACAATCACGGGAACTGGATCCGTGCGCGTTGGTTCGAACACCACGATCATAGGCAAATCGGGATCGGGTGCGTGCTCAGCGTGCTTTCATGCTGATGCACACCTGTCTGATCTGATATCGTAGCTTTGGTTGGGATTGGGTTGCGAGTTTTCCGAGAGGTTTGCTGGGCCTTATTCTTGAATAAATTTTCCCGGTATTGACATGCCCGGCCCGCAGCAAAACGTCATCATCCGCAACGTCAAGATCTCGAAAGTGCTCCACCCCGACGATGCGATTGGTGTGCAAGAGGCCCATCAGGTCTGGATCGACCACGTGGATCTCTCGTCTGATCTGGGTATGTGGGCCGCCCGAGACTGGGTGAAGCTGGGCTCATGATGACATTTCTGTTGCAAGACCACGGCAAGGACTTTTACGACGGACTCTGCGATTTGTGAGATTGGCACCGGCCAGGGCATCAGCGATCTGAATGAGGCCTACAGGACACACGGCGTTACTGGAATTACAGTCACCAACAGTTTCTTGCACGACCACTTCAAGGCTTCGCTCGTCGGCCATTCGGACAGCAACGGGGCTCAGGATACGGTCATTACTGTCACCTTCGCCAACAACCTATGGTGCGTGTGCTAACAGCTTGCCGCCCTCATCATTGACAAGCGTGATCCAGGCGCCACGTCAACTCCCGCGCACCGTCCCTTCGATTCGGGCACGGTCACGTGTTCAACAGCGTCTTTGATAGCAATATCCTGACCAACATCAACACCCGCGACGGTGCGTGCTCAGAAGCCATCTTACGCTCAGCACACTGACGCGGCGTTCTAGGCGCCCAGATGCTGATCCAGAACAACGTTTTCATCAACACCAGTCTTGCCATCGAGAGCACCGACGGCGGCTTTGCCGTCGCGACCGGAAACGACTTCGGTGGCGCTAATAACACCGGTAAGTGAATTTTTCCCGCCGAGTTTGAATGACTGATTTGGGATAAGCACCGGTCGGGACGTTCACCAACCCCCCGTATTCGTTCACCTTGCTCCCAACGGCCAATGTCAAGGCTGCTGTTGGTCCGTGACAGTATTTTCAACGCCCGTTGATCTCCGATCTGATGCAATTCACAGTGGGAACGGCTGGGCAGACCTTGTCTTTCTGAGTTTGAGGACAAGTTGAAGCGATCAAATATGAAAGAGGTGCTCGAAACAATATATGTAGGAGAGGTGTAAGAAGCGCGTAATACTGTATCCCAGTACGATGATCACGATTTTTGTCTATGAATTTTATCTGGAGTTTCACAAAAGAAGTATTTCTTGCTCACTGGGGGCAGCGCCATCGCCTGTCTCGGCAGCGGCCTCGGGAATTACCTCAGATCACCTCTAGCCCACCCGAGTCATGATGTTTGATGACCCATCATTTCGGCACTCCTTCCCTCCCGCTAGCAGTGGACAGTTGCAAGCGATTCTCCTTGGCAAAGCCCTTGGAAGCCAACGTGTTGAAGACAAGAGCTGATCCGCAAATACTGCGTAAAGGTTTTGAAGGCGATGTATAGAGTTGCAGCTGTGCTCTAGTCACAGCTCCACTTCCTTCCGCAACGGCGCCAAGGATGCTGGCAAATCCCACAAATCATTCCCCCGATAGGCCCCCGCACTATAAAGGATCTCCTTCAAAGTGCGACTTAAACCCAGAACCTGTTCCACATCGAAACGACTCGCACGATGCCTACCATCTACTCGAGGGAATCCCCACTCGACGATGAATCATGCCCTGCGCAGCTTCTCCCAGACACCGGTGCATCTGACATCCCATCGGCCATGATCAATGACGTCGCCGCCGCCATGCCATCGCCACAGGTTCTAGGTCTCGTTTTGTTTCTCTGCACGGTCATTGCCGCAGTCTTGTTCTGGGCCGCGCCGGGAAGAGTCTCTCGTGCGATGATGGCCGCCATTGGCCAGGCCGACGAAGAGTACCTTGCTGCAGCTAAAACGGGAGCGGTTGAGCCGCGTGGGAAGATGGCTGAGGAGCTTGAGCAGTGAGTGTTGGCAAATGTGAATGTGGAGAGTATTTCACTGACTGCTTTGCTTGAGACTTCACGCGACGGCGTCGGCGCTCAGGCAGGAGTACCTCGAGAGCTCCCTCTCACACTGGAGCGGTATCATTTACCTGCTGAAGGGACGTCCCCTGAGACTAGTCTTCTGCAGGCGCGCAATCCAGCTCTTCCGAACTCGTACCGAGGCACGCCGCTATCTCCTACCACGCGGACTGCGGTCGTATGCTGACTGATTGCTCAGATTGCCAAGGAGGTGCACAATCGATTGCTACCAGAGCCAGAACCTATCGTGGGCCACCGCCGTCGAGTTGCCGCTCAACCACTTTCCGCATCGTAACGACCGTCTTTTCGCTATCATCATTAGGCACACCGGCATGTCACACCGCATTCCATATCCGATGCTGAAGGCCCTACTTTACCCTGTAACTTGGCCGATACAATCAGAATCATGACACAATTCTATCCGCCCGAATCGAATTGGAGCTGATTCCTCAGACAATTTGAGCGTGTCCGAACTCAACAATGATTGTCCCTAGTCACAGCCAAGACCAATGTCGTATGCTTCTCTGGAACGTCGAAACCGTCTTTTCGCCGAAGCTTTGTGCTGCCCGGTTGGCTGACGTTGTCGCATCCGCTCCGCCCACAGACATAAAGAATGTTCATCTGCCTGTTTTGTATTGCAAATAGGACATACTCTGCAGCATCGTACGCGAGGATCTTCGGCTCGTTCTATGAGCACGAGTTCCTGGGATTCCAGCTTGTCATAATCGCAACCTGCAGTTGCTGTGATGTGATAATCGAGCTTGGCCAGCCCTCCCAAGCGGATGCTTTGGAGCAATCAATGACGTTGCGGGTGCGTGGTGAGCGACTCGAACATTCAGTTGCCGATTCCAGCTCAGACATCCCCTGTCGCAAGTCGTCTCGGAGGCCAGCGGATTTGAGCATGTCTGAGACACCCCCGGAGGTACAAATCTTGGCTGGGGGATGTAGACTGAATGATATCCCCCTTACCTATAACGATTATGCACATCATCCGCTCCAGCCCATCGTCCTCTGATACGATCCGTCGCCGAACCATCCCAAACTTCTTCTCCTTTGGCACGAGGAAGCCTGCACCACCCCCAAAGCCGTTCATCTCGTCGTCCTCTTTGTCGTCGGTTTCGTCCACCTCGCACGAGGCCAAGTCACCTCCCGGCAGCCTAGATATCGCTGGGGCCGGCTTTGAGCGACAAGTGGTCTTATCGGAGGAACAGCGTGAGTGGCCGTCCCATACACTGACGGGGCATTCGGACACTGATCCGCTCCCAGTCAGAAACCCTCCCGAGACGTTCTCTAATGACCTCGCCGCTATCCTGTTCATGGATTCCCCCGCGAAGCCCAGCCAGACCGTCACGGGTGTCTGCTTCAGGAAGGAAGTCGTCTTGACCGAGGAAGAGCGTCAGTGGTTTCCCCAATCGCTTAGCTGCCCCACATCTCTGACCGCCCTTCCTATCTCCTTGCAGTTAACCGAGCACCCGCTCTGCCGAAAGCTCCTATGCTCACACCCATGCTCACACCCAATCTCCAAAAACGCTTCTCTCGTCGCCATTCGACGTTTGTCCCGCCGACGCCAGTCGATCTGTCCACCCTCGTCCGATCGGACGTTCCCCTCGTCGTCGAGCACGTTGGAACACCCGCCCTGAGAAGGGGCCCAGCACCTGCGGTGGACGCTGCTTCCAAAAAGCGTCACCGGCATTCGTTGTTCGTCACGAGCGCACCAAAGTCGGACGCTGTCTGTGAAGGATGGTGATCAGACGTATCTGATATCTAGGAACCACTACACACACAAATGGGATCATCTTGCTTATCTCTCTTCTTCATTCCGTACATGGCGCTTGAGCGAGGCGTGAGCATGAAGTGTCTTTCTTTGGGAAGCAGGAAAAGAGAACTGCGACGGACTGTTCACTCACTCTGCTTTCGTTTGTGAAGGGTTTCAGAGCCTTCCCCTAGCACGCTTTGTTCATGCGATCACTCTACAAGCGAGAAGGAAGAGGCTGCTGCGCGTAACTGACAGTTTATCTGGGTAGAACGTTCGTGCGAATGGATAATGTTTCCGAGAGCAGAAAGGAGCAAACAGGCCATGAGCCGATGCGAAGGCGAAGTCGGTCCGGTCCATTGCGAGAGGGATGACGCTGAGAAGAAGCCCTGGAGTCTCACAGGAAGGGGTCAAGAACAACAGCACACAGGCCCCCCAACACCTCGACGTGTAGCGTATATCGACCGATGAGACGCCAGGAATGTTGTGGCACTCCCAAGGGCGATGTAGATTGCCGCAGCATGCGCGCTGTAGCCAAGGCGCACCGCAACGAAAGTCGACATGTTGGTTGAACATGGGCCGAGGACGCGAAAGCAGGTCATGGCAGTTTGGCGCGTTTGGTCGAACATTCCCCGTAGCTGTCGCGGGTCAGAGCGGTGGGAGGTGCGTCGGACGGCGGTTCGCGGATGATGGCACAGGATTCAGATCAAGTTCTTTCGGGGGCTCGAAAACCTCGAAAGGATTGAGAACACCCGGCGAGGTCGACGGACGGCCGCGTTATGGAAAGCCAGCACAGACCTTAGGTCGTTCAGAACTGAGCCTCCATGTGAATGAGAAAACATGAAGATGGATACCTCGGAAAAGATTAAAGACCTCTTCAGTACAATGCCTCTCGACTAGTCCTCCATCCAGCAGCGGTGCGACACTCCACTCTGGTGCTTGGTCGAGGACAAACTTGCTGGTGAGTGATGCACCTCGACGACCAGCGTAGACCGACAACCGTGCCTTCAGCCTCCAAGAAAAGACGAGTACAAAGAGTTCATCGGCCCTGAGTCAAACTGCGTCTCGCTAGAGCCATATTCAAAGGTAGAGGGCACTGGGATCGGATATGATGATTCGCAGCAAGATCGCCGCATCAGTGGCAGTGCTCGCGCTCTCTTCTCCATCGTCCAGCGCACACTTTGTGCACAGACCCTTGTGGCCTGGTAACATCCATCCCTATGAAAGCCAAGGCCGAATAGCTTAGTCTCATATGCACCTCGCTTGCCCCATTCATTGCGAGCGAAGCGAGCAATCATCGACTAAGGGCTGCCAGCGCGCACAAAACAAGAACAAATTCTAAGGACTTTTGATGGGAGCTGGGGCAAGATTGTTGTGCCTCATACTCGTTCAATTGTCCATAGTTCTCTCTGAAACTTGGCACACGAGTTACAGTACTATATTTCCTACAGAATATCAAGTCCCATCCATAACAATGTAGAATTGAGCCCATTCGAACTGCGCACCAAGCACCGGCCTATGCTCAGCGAATTCTCCTCCGTTTTCTTTGGGAGTTGCACAGTAAGATGCTGGGCGTCGTATACCTACAATCCTAGACTTTGAGAGGTGTTACGCTGAGTGCTCTCTCTGCCGCTGGAACTCCAGGCTTTGCCTGCCGCCTTGCCACCAACCGGTCACGTGGGATATTGCGATCAGTACCAGTCGGAGCGTACAAGTGATTTTGCACGTAGATATCCCCAATAGATCTGAGTTTAGTGTAAAAATGTGACTATGTAGTCTTCGAAGCGAGCATCCAGCGCCTCTTGCGCGATTCCATTTTACCTCCCGCAGTCATAACATCAACCGACAGAGCGACCTCTCGCGGCCCAAGTTACACATGAGCTCGTGCGAATGGATTATCTACCATATACGCACGATTTCGTCTGGGTAGCAACGCAAGTTTACCAGAGAGCTGAAATCAATGTTTTAGAGCGCTGGTGGACCCCGGCACCTTCAAGCTTCGTGCTCTCGCACCTCAGTTACCACCGCCAACCCCCCATATAGACCCCGCGGGGGACCTCCTGGGTACCCTTAGACGTATGGTGCACGTGCCCTTGTCACTGCCACTTTGTGACAGGACCGGAATCTGGTCAGAAAATTTGCAAAAATAAAATGGTCGGGAAAGCATCAGAAATGGTTCAGATTGAGTGCAGATCAAGTGGAAAGACACATTTTATGCATAGAAGCCTGAAAGAGGTCATATTTGTCAGCAAAAGTGGTGACTTTGGCGTGACTTCTAGTCACATTTCGTGACATAACGTGACAGAACCGGAATCGGGGTGTCAATCAAAACATCAACTCCCTCAGTTTTGAAGCAATTAATTATCCCTCTTACAGATTTGTTCTACACCTCAAACTGAGTGTTTCTGTAAGACAGATAAGAAAACAGACGCTTCTGTGACACACTGTGACCCTTGTACAAAAGTGGTAGTGTTAAGGGCACATGCACCATAGCTCTATGGGTACCCAGGAGGTCCCCCCCCGCGGGGGTACAGGGGGCAGCTGGCCATTTTGGGGCAGGGGGATGGGCAGGGGTCAGGACGGGGGTCAGGACGGGGGTGCCCATACATACCATGTGACTTGTCCATAAGAGCGGGCAGCTGGGCGGGAAAAAAAAAATCAATCACATGATGCACCAAATGGGCGGGATGGCGGGAAAATCACGTGATGAGCTGCAGGAAAAATTTCAAAATGGCGGGGGTTGGCAGGGGTGTTGGCGGGGGCGCTACCGCCCCTCCCGCACACTGCAGCGGGCAGTGGGCGCATTATCACGTGACTTTTTGGGGGCCCCTTTTTGCACCATTTGGCATGATTTTGGAGGTGCTGCTTGATAGATTGCATGTTGTGGCAGACAGTGGGCGCAAAATCACGTGATTTTCCGCCAAAAAAAAAATGGAAGCCTCTCTAAATCATCCCAGTATAATTTCCATAGGTAAATACACTAATTGACCATGCATTTGAGCTTAGAAAACCCCAAATGCACCCTGCACAATAGGATTGTTGATGCGCTTGATCCCATCATCTGGCGGGGTCTGCCGCGGGGTCAGTCTGGCATATTCTATATTTGACCTCCTTTAGCCGTAGCAGTAGTGCTGCTGACCACCAGGGCAAGAATACAAACATTTATGAAATATCTTATCAAGGTAGACAAAGCCAATAGGGAAGGTGAAGATGTGTAACTGGATATTGCAATTGATGCAGGGCCCAGTGCGGGGTCTGGTGCGGGGTCTGGTGCGGGGTCTGATGCGGGGTCTGGTGGGGGAGCAGGGGCAGGGGTGGATTACACAAAATTTTGATGTATCTACTCTGGCTAGGGTTGTAGAATATCATGTAACTTTTCTCTATTTTGGCAGGGAATAGGGGATAAAGATACACAACATTGCCCGCATGTTTTGGCTGGGTCTCCAGGTCAAGTCATGTGATTTACCAATGTTTTGGTGGGGGGTAGGAGATTAATGGATGATGTTACCTATATAATCCATGGCATGTGAAGTCAAGCAGAACATGTGATTTTCTCATTTTTTGGCTGGCAGGATGGGTGGCATAGTAGATTGGCAGACCAGGGTCCACACTCCACTCATTGATTGTTTGCTTTACCCATTTAATATATATGTGTAGCACAGTGGTATCCATTTTTGGAGCTTGTAATAGAACATATTAGGTACACATCTCATCCCCCCCTTCCTGGCTGAATGCACTTGAGGTCTGAAACTTGTGTGTTCCCTTGCAAGCGATCTGCTTGGGTTTCAGCATGAATTCATTAAATAGAGTGGATTTGAGGTGAACTATATTCATTACTCGGTGTGATGTGAGAGGATGTATTTACTGGCAAGTTGTCCCACAATAGTCAGAGCTTGGTTATCAGTGCAAATTTGACATGTAAACTCTTAACAACTTGTGTCTTGGCTTGTATCTTTTGGAAGACCAACTGCAAACACATGGCTGATTGTTTTTACCAATGAGTCTCTACCCACCCCAGCCATGACCACCTGCCTGCACCCCCGCCTTCACCCCCGCCCCCCCGCCAGCACCCCCGCAACTACCCTGCCACTGATTGACCCCCGCCATCACCCCCGCCACACCGGTGCCTCAGCCCCTGCCATCTCCGAATATGTAATATTATGTAAAGTGACAGCCCGGAACACATCAAGTCAGTAGCCAATCAGGACCTGTATAAACGTCGTACCTAACTATGTTTTGCTCTTCTGAGACTGTTTTTACATATATGCTGCTAAAAACCATCGGAATTATGTCTCCTTATGCTGTTCTTGTTGAATATAATGCCACTTCATGTCCTCTGTCAGCCCGAAATTCGAAACATGGAAACAGCTCATAGTGACTCAATGTTCCTATATAGAGAACACTTCAACATGGTTCACTTTGCATATTGCGCAAAATATATTTTCTGCAAGGGCCCAACTTCACACAACCGAAGGATACACCCTTTGGCAATGCCTGAACAAAATCTGGGGAGTGCTGGACCCTGTAACGATTCAAAAATACGAAATAAATCCAAAGTATAGTGTGATTTATATCGTGGGATACGGGCCAGTTTAAAGAGATGTGAGCCTCTGGTCATCTTGAATATCGTTTCTAACAATGTTTCGGTCCCCTACCTCCTTCCAGACAACCTCTGTTCTCACTGGAACGTGCAAAACCCACCCAAGCTTGTAAAATCAATTGTCGCCCAGAAACAAGAGCAGTCGAGTTCCTTTGTTGGAATTGGGTAGAGGTAACCATGAAGTTGCTTGGGCTGCAGTATAAAAGCATGGGAATGTGTTTCTATGTGTGTTCATCTGGTCGCTCCACATTTGATTGGCCAGCAGGGGCTGGCGCACCCCCGCAGTCAACCCCGCCCAATCCCCTGCAAGAATTGTATTCACAAGGTTTCTGCGCAATTCTTTGTCAGGGTTCTGTGTATTAGCACACTCATTACAGTGTCTCAATGTGATGTTCACAGGTTATATTCACTCCAGCAAATGATGCTTGTAACAGCTGTATCAAATATGCTATGAAAGAGAGTGAAACATTGGAGATGCAGTCATCCTTAAAAAGCGGGAGGACCACTTCAGCTGTTCGGAAGGGGAGCAGTAGCCATGACTATTCCTCCTGATCAATGTAGCTGTGACTGGACAACCCCCTTGGGGATTTGCTGAACACATGTAGTTGCGCATTTTTTAATATGTTAGCATCTTTTGAAGCCACAAACTCCACCAAAATGTACTGGCAAAACCATGCTTTAATCTCCTACCCCCCACCAAAACATTGGTAAATCACATGACTTGACCTGGAGACCCAGCCAAAACATGCGGGCAATGTTGTGTATCTTTATCCCCCATTCCCTGCCAAAATAGAGAAAAGTTACATGATATTCTACAACCCTAGCCAGAGTAGATACATCAAAATTTTGTGTAATCCACCCCTGCCCCTGCTCCCCCACCAGACCCCGCATCAGACCCCGCACCAGACCCCGCACCAGACCCCGCACTGGGCCCTGCATCAATTGCAATATCCAGTTACACATCTTCACCTTCCCTATTGGCTTTGTCTACCTTGATAAGATATTTCATAAATGTTTGTATTCTTGCCCTGGTGGTCAGCAGCACTACTGCTACGGCTAAAGGAGGTCAAATATAGAATATGCCAGACTGACCCCGCGGCAGACCCCGCCAGATGATGGGATCAAGCGCATCAACAATCCTATTGTGCAGGGTGCATTTGGGGTTTTCTAAGCTCAAATGCATGGTCAATTAGTGTATTTACCTATGGAAATTATACTGGGATGATTTAGAGAGGCTTCCATTTTTTTTTTGGCGGAAAATCACGTGATTTTGCGCCCACTGTCTGCCACAACATGCAATCTATCAAGCAGCACCTCCAAAATCATGCCAAATGGTGCAAAAAGGGGCCCCCAAAAAGTCACGTGATAATGCGCCCACTGCCCGCTGCAGTGTGCGGGAGGGGCGGTAGCGCCCCCGCCAACACCCCTGCCAACCCCCGCCATTTTGAAATTTTTCCTGCAGCTCATCACGTGATTTTCCCGCCATCCCGCCCATTTGGTGCATCATGTGATTGATTTTTTTTTTCCCGCCCAGCTGCCCGCTCTTATGGACAAGTCACATGGTATGTATGGGCACCCCCGTCCTGACCCCCGTCCTGACCCCTGCCCATCCCCCTGCCCCAAAATGGCCAGCTGCCCCCTGTACCCCCGCGGGGGGGGACCTCCTGGGTACCCATAGAGCTACGTCTAAGGGTACCCAGGAGGTCCCCCGCGGGGTCTATATGGGGGGTTGGCGGTGGTAACTGAGGTGTGCTCTCGCGCGGACAAAAGACCCCCGATCTCTCTTTGGCAGGCCTGCCGGGCTTTCCGCACCACTCTTACATGCATCTTTCACATCGCACACTACGAATCCTATCCTTCAAATTGATGCGACGTCGACGAAACACTGGACGTGAAGCTGAGCATTGTCTCCTCGCGGTGAAAGATGACGATGTGCTTGGTGCCCAGTGCCTTGGTGGATTCCACAGTCGTGACGTGCAAGTCTTCCTTCAGTGCATGACCGGCAATAATATTGTTCGATGGGTGCAGGTGAGGAGAGCAGGTGGCGACTGCTGCGCTCACGAGAACGCCTTGGCCACAAGCCTCGGGCCTTCCATGGGAACGCCGAAGCGCCGGAGTCTCCGCTTGTGAGAATCCGCCCGTCAATCCGGCCAGGTCCCACCCAGAAGAGCCGCTTGCGGCCTGGGGTTCTACTCAGGCGAGTCTAAGGACCTAGCCGAACAGCGGCTCTGCGCGTGTCTGGATCAAGCGGTGCTCGTACCCTCCACCCATCTGCTCCGAACTAGGATTTCAAATGATCTTCTGGGGCATGTTCAAGAGTAGTACCGTGCCAATTAGCCTGTCTAGACTGATATTCCAGCTCTTTGCCTGATTTCATACAACGACCGCTTTTCCATGAATTACAGAAGAGGGACATGTCCGGATAGATCTTTGAGTGAGTGATGGATAAGCCGGGCACGAGACTACCATCACTGATCAGCTGTGCTGCTTTCACTCTCCCACCACACTCACGCTCGCCATGACTCAAATGACGTCGTCCATACCGACTGTCTGACCTACGAGCGTTCCCTGCTCGACCCCGTGCCGCTCATTCTCGCGCAATAGCACGATGCCAAGCCGGAATTGTGCTGTTTATAGTTCTTTCAGACTCGTACTTGGGCACGCTATTTTCGACGGTGCGCTACCCGTGACATTAAGCTTGAGCACCCGACCAGATCCTTGCCGCTGCGTTGGGTGTCTGGGCTTTTGGGGAGGCACGTGTGTGAGTGGTTGCGATGCACTGCAGCCGTTGTGGAACGAAAGAGGGAGGCTGTCCCGGTCTCCGCGGGACGCATCGCCCTTCTCTCGAAAGCGCTCTGCTGACCCATCGGAGTTGACTTCGGAAAAATTCGGCTGCTTGATCGATCCAGCGCGCATCGGCTCAGCTTAAAAATGACATGCGATTGGGCTACGCCTCCCCTGCACAAGGTACTACAGACAGGAGCCGACGATGGTACTATCTGCGGATCGCGAGAAAGCAGGACCAAATGGCAATTACCCGCCCTAATTCTCCGCCGTCAAAACTGGCGTGGCACATGGGTGTATGCTATTGTATGTACGTCTCCAAATCGACCACCTCTCTGCTGGACCGGCGGCCCGCGTCTCTCCGTCGATCCTGAGCTCCATTAACCAACCAATATTAGAGATTAAATTTGGCGACATATAAAACGTCCACTCTAAATTGACTGTCTCCAGTACTCTTCTGCCCTCGACAAGAAATACTACTATACAACAATGCGGACCGCTTTCCTCGCCATTGCTCTCCAAGTTTGCGCGGTATGGCTTGTTTGCTGCGATGCTCAAATTCTATGCTGACAGCGTGGCCGGGACAGATCACGGCTGCCGTGGTGAAACGAGCGACTGTCAACGATGTCGCGACTCTAGGTTACGGTGAGCCGCGTTCACCGCTTTTTTTTTTGCGCGGGCATTGACGAGGAGTGCTTTCGCGTAGCGACCCTAAACGGAGGGTACGCGTTTTTCACGCTCCATCTTCGCCAATCATTTAAATGACCTGCGCAGGACGAGCGGCGGCTCAGGTGGTCCCACGACGACCGTCACCACCCTCGATGCCCGTAAAGATTCCGCGCCCCATTTCTCGTCCTTGTGCACAGACTGAACTGAATCCCCAGTCACCTCGGCCGTCGCAGGAACCGCGAAGAAGATCGTCCTGATCTCAGGTACTTGACTGTCTCGCTGGAATGGTGATGCGCTATTTCTCACCGCAATATAGGGACGATTACGGGCAACGCTGTCGTGAGAGTCGGGTCGAATACGACCGTCATTGGAAAGACGGGATCGTGTGAGTGACCAGCCTCATCCAGGCCGTCCGAATACACGCTCTGACCGCGGCAATCGAAATAGCTCTGGTCGGGGTTGGCCTGCGAGTGCTTAATGAGGTTCGCGGCAGTTCTCGCGCCTGGCTTCTTCTTCTCCGAGACTGAACGCGCGCGAAGCAAAACGTGATCATTCGAAATGTCAAGATCTCGAAAGTGCTCCACCCGGGGGATGCGGTTGCCGTCCAGGCGTCCCATCAGGTGTGGATCGACCACGTGGACCTCTCGTCCGACCTCGGTATGTGAACTACTCTTGGGTAGCTGTGGATCGTGAACCGGGACTAATCGGCCCGCATCAGACCACGGCAAGGACTTTTACGACGGTCTCTGTGATCTGTACGCTCCCACGGGTCCCAGCGGCTGACACGTCGCTAACGTGTTTTCTCTCTCAGTACCCACGGTGTCACCGGGATCACGGTCACCAACAGCTTCCTGCACGACCACTTCAAGGCGTCGCTGATCGGGCATTCTGACAAGAACGGAGCGCAGGATGTCGCCATCACAGTCACCATGGCCAACAACCTCTGGTGTGTGTTTTGTTGTTAGCATAGGTAATGTCGACTGAGAGCGGGCGCAAACAGGCGCAACGTCAACTCGCGCACACCGTCTCTCCGTTTCGGACACGGGCACGTGTTCAACAGCGTGTTTGACAGCGACATCGAGACCAACATCAACACCCGCGACGGTCCGTACTCCCTCCACACCAACCATAAATATCCGAGCTGAACATGTACTGACCCCGCCCTTTTCACAGGCGCCCAGATCCTCGTCCAGAACAACGTATTCGTGAACACCATTTTCGCGATCGAGAGCACCGACGGCGGCTTCGCCGTCGCGACCGGAAACGACTTTGGCGGCGCTAACAACACCGGTTCGTCTCTTGTTTCGGCGCCCCTTGTGCTTTGGACTGAGACCTCATAGCCCCCGTCGGCAACTTCACCACCCCGCCATATCCGTTCACTCTCCTCCCCACCTCCAGTGTATTGGCCTCAGTCGGTCCGTTTGTTAAAGTCTGCTCTTGATGTAGATCTAATATATTCAACAGAGAGCACGGCCGGACAGACTCTTACGTTCTGATCATCGGGGCTTTGCACGCTGGGACGCGCGCAGATGGCAGCACGTTCATTTGTACCGAGACTTGCAGAGATTGTATAAATCGCATCACATTGTCAACTCAGGACTAGTGCGCCCCCGAAGTTGAGCCTCATCCACTGGAGTGTCGACAGAATCATACATTGGCCCCAAGAAAGTGTCCTTGAGTGGAAGGGGAATGATATTTACTGCGTACAATCATTTCAGTAATCCTTTGCAAGCACACTGACGGGATTTTCTGTGCTGAGCAAAGTGATGTGGAACCGGAGGGAAAGTGGGCAGCGTAAGACGTGATCAGGACACTTTCTAGTATCAGAGGCATCAAATGATTAGACCAAGGCTACTTAAGCCATATGACTTCGCTTGGGATGCTTCTTGGCTGCCACGGGCACACGACATCGCTTCATTCCATTTCATTCCTGCTAGCCGATTTGAACGACAGACCTCGAATTTACTGGTGACGCGCTCTTCCAACTGAGCTGAAAGTTGGGACGTCATTTTATCAGCCGGTAATCACAAGACACGTCATCGCTTCATTTCGCTCAGATTGTTTGTTTGTGACACACTGGTACGTATAAACATTCGATCAACTACTTTCCTTCGATCTTGCTTCTTGTTCAGGCCTGCTCAGAAGGAGAGCGTCTGGCCGGCACCACCCGCTGCAGAATCGATCAGGACTCACGACTACGAATAAAGATGAACGGGAAGCGGCAAGGCACGTACAGACGGTAGACTTGACACTCGAGACGGGGAGCAGCGAGAATGCCGAGTAGGGCGGGGATGTGAACGAGCCGGTCGGGGCTGGACACGATCAGCCAACTCTCCGAGCTCAATATGCTGCCGCTGGACTCACCGGTGTTGGTCGCGCCGCCAAAGTCGTTTCCGGTAGCGACGGCGAAGCCGCCATCGGTGCTCTTGATCGCGTTGGTGATGTTGACGAAGACGTTGTTCTGGACGAGCATCTGGGCGCCTGGTCGCGCAAGCGGTCAGACCCGAAGCAAACGCGACACGAATGGGAGAGATGGAAGGATGGAAGGATGGACGCACCGTCACGCGTGTTGAGACCGTCACTGTTGCTCTCGAAGAGGTTGTTGTAGATGTGGGCGTGTCCGAAGCGCAGCGAGGGCGTGCGTGAGTTCAGGTTGCGCCTGTGCGGTATATGAGCCAATCTGTGCTACTTTCGAACAGGGGCACGGACCAGTAGTTGTTTGCAAAGGTCACCGTGATGACAGTGTCCTCCGCGCCGTTGCTGTCAGAGTGGCCAACGAGCGACGCTTTCCAGTGGTCGCGCAGGAAACTGTTGGTGATCGTGACACCAGTGATTCCGTGCGTGCTGCGGAAGGGTGCATATGGAGATCAGCAAGCATCAAGATCCTGGAAAACCACCGCACAGATCGAGCAGGCCATCGTAAAAGTCTTTGTCGTGGGCTGCCCGGAGGGACAAGTCAGCACACCGTTCAGCTTTGACAAGCGCAAGACTGACAGCGGTCCGAGGAGAGGTCGGCGTGGTCAACCCAGACTTGACTCGACGCTTGGACTCCGATCGCATCCCCAGCCGAAGCGAGAACCTTGGAGATCTTGACGTTGCGGATGATCACGTTTTTCTGGGAAGCGCGTGTCAATATCATCAGTGTGTGAAGCGTGCAAGAATAGAAATCAGCTGACCTCGTTGAGCACGCGCAAACCGACACCGACGAGGGCTCGATCCAGGGTAAGTCACACAGCGATAATACTCGTAGAGTCTGGGCTGCTGCTACTCACCGGAGCCCGACTTTCCGATGAGAGAGGTGTTCGATCCGATTTTCACTACAGCGTTCCCCGTGATAGTGCCTATTTCGGTGTGAGCTTCGAGGAAGCATTTCAGGGTCGGGGAACACAGCAGTCAGGACCTGAGATGAGTACAATCTTCTTGGCAGTACCGGCAACAGCCGAGGTGACTGCAGATGGTAGTGAGACTCGGAGGAAGACAAACTCGGGATAGATGGGATGGGGGAGACTCACGCGCATCGAGGGTGGACACCGTCGTCGTCGGACCGCCAGATCCTCCGCTCGTTCTGTCCCACGGTTCAGTTCCACAGCTGGGCATCGGGTTCTGTGAGCACTTGCCCTCCGTTGAGTGTCGCTGTAGCGACTTTCAGCGCGCGGAAGATAGAACAAGAGAATATCGTGCTCACCGTATCCAACGGTCGCGACGTCATTCACTGACGCTCGTTTCACGATTGCAGCGGACGCCTGTCGGGCAAAGCGGGTCAGTCACAAAAATCGCTCGAGCAATTCAAAAGTTACTGCAAGGAGGTAGATGGTGATGGCAATGAAAGCAGTGCGCATTGTGGTAGTCCTTGTTTTCGGTGCAAAGAAAGCTTGAGAACTGAGGAGAATATCAGCCAGAGCGTGCATCCTTTATACTCCCCAGAATTCATCTAAATGCGAGACCTCGGGAAGCGACGGTCCGCCGGTCCAGCGATTGTGGGTGCGCAGGACAATCCTTGCGCACATGCTCGCACAGCATCCCTTGGATTCGGATAAACAACCTCCCTGCCTCTCCTCGGCCAACTCGTCGCGCAGGCGCGCAAACGCAACGCGGTCTCGTCGGGGCCGTTCCCTAGCATCCTGCGGATGAGAAAAAACATACACAACACAAGCCCGGTCGTCGATTGGCGCGATACAGCGGGCACTCAGGCCCTCGGTACCGCGTTTAGGACAGACTAGGACGAGGCTAGAAACGGCATATCACCCGATGATAGAGCTCCCCGGCACACAAACTGAATAGACGGCAAGCGGAAGTAGAGTTCGCCAAGACCAAGCTGAGTACAGCATCGCCAGTCACGAGTAGGAAGCGAAAATGAACGGCTGCGCCAGGCGAAACGCTTGGACAACGACACGAGACGGGGCTGACGCAGAGGCCAAGAGACGAACCGGACCGCCAGTGGGTGGGTGCGTGAGTGGGACGTCATCGCGAGCTGGGATGAGCAAGAGCATGGAGCCGTGTCGCAAGTTACAAGACCAGAAACGCACGTGTTGTGTTCCAGGGACACGTGCTTGATGCAGGTAGACACCACTTGACCGGGTCACAGTCTGGTTCAATTGGGGCTGGGCATTGGCGCGCGCCGAAGGCTCTCTGTTAGTCTATTGAACATTGATGTGACATCAGAATGACTTCCGATGCTTCTTCCGCAGCCTTGTTGCATATCTGAATGCCTCACGTGACCGTGTTTGCTCGATTTGCAAACATCAGTCGATACTATGTATTGATCGCATCGGATATTGAGCTGGGCATAGCCTACTGGTTCATCCGTATACCAATCATTGCCCTGTGACCTCTGTTGATGCGCCAGTAAACCATAATTGTTTAGTGGTGGTGTACACTATTGACAGCAACCGCCGACATGCACTACGTTCCGTAGGCACCTAGTCCCCTCAGGGGACTAGGTGGCTAGTCTTTCCTAGTCACCAGAGGGAGACTACGTGGGTAGTCACCATGGTGGCTACGGGTGCCCATGTGAGACGGAGTGGGGTCTAGACAGCTCGGTCCCTGATCAGCTATCACTCGACCCCGACTAGTCCCCTACTGTCCCACGTCAACCCAGATTCCCGAAATTACAATTCGCGACAGCGATTGCGGCTGCTTAAGGATACAACCGGTATATGCACTTTGGTTTTAGCATGTATATCTGCATTATAACACTATAAAGTTCTTTATAAGCCCCCTCGCGGCGCGAGATCTTGCTGATGACTCGATGGAGGATGATCACTGATATTCATGACACGTGGTAGGCAACGAGGCAAGTACTTTTGTCTCCCCGCATTGCACTCTTATGGACCGCGGGCGCTCGACGGGGCATTCCACGCGCCAATCGCTAGCTACCCGGGGTGGTCGAAACATCCCTGGCCCGCCTGATCCGACTCATAACACAAGCGCACCATTAGATCAAGGACGCTCGACAGATCGTTCTGCGAGTCAATCCCTTGCAGCCCGTGGCCGTACAAGCTTCCGCGGCCGTAGCTTTTCTGGTCTGTCTGACCCAATCCGCAATCAGACTTCATCGCTCTCATCGCCAAGCATCCCCTCGCCAAGCATCCCCTCGCCAAGCCCCGATTTTAGCATTTCTCCTCCAGCGGCCGAAACCCTATGGGATAATGGCATTCTGGGTGGCAGGATCGACGTCAGCTGCAACACTGGAGCTCAGGAACCACTACTTCACCTGGTCGAAGAGGCTGTTGAGCCTGATGAGTCTCCGCCGGCTTTTGATCCACACTCACTCATACAATGCATCTTGATTCTGTGCGCATGGTTTCATACTCAGCATCATGTCTCTTTTCGGGCAATCTCTATGCTTCTCTGGGCAATCACTTTTGTGCTCACTGTTGTCCCGGGAAATGTTCTTGGGGAAGAGTCACTTCCCATGACTCTGAAGACTGTCTTCGCGAGGCTGAACATACACGATCAATTCAAAATCCACCCAATCTGTCCTTGCTGTCACTCTATCTTCCCTGATGTCTCCCCAACTGATACAAAATGCCCTAGTTGCGATGCGGCAATCTACCTGACTCGTTCACAGTTATTGGTGGATCGTCTTAGAGATATCACTGGGATGGAAGAGGATGCTAGCCATGAGGCCAACACTGGTTCAAATTCCGAGGGGCAGCAGAACACAGCAGGCTACAAGCCCGCAACTGTTGCCCCAATTCACCTCCTCTCAGATGCTCTTCGGGGATTCTTTGAACGACCAGGAATGGTGGATGCAGTTCGAGAGTGGAAAACTAGAACACCATCACATGAGAAGCTGGACACTATACAGGATGGAGACATTTGGAAAAATCTCAAGGCTGCGGATGGCTCTAGATTCTTTTACAGTGAGGATGAGAATGAAGTGCGGATCGGAGTTTCATTGGGGATTGACTGGTGTGTGCTGAATGTCTTGCACAATCTCATTTATACTGAAAATCAAACTTCCCATCCTAGGTTTGGTCGGAAATCGGGTAACTATGGGCCAAGTCACTCTTCTGGTGCTGTCAGCTTTTGTGTCCAGAACCTAAATTCTGAATTACGGTTCGGGAATCTAGTGTGCTTCTTAGTTGAACCAACAATACTTAATGGCTTTCAGATATCGCCCTGAAAACTTGATTCTAACTGGAATGCCACCAGGCCCAACGGAGCCAACCTCAGAGCAACTGCAAAACTATTCAAAGATCATTGTTGATGATCTGATTAAACTCTACCATGATGGAATCCTGGTTGAGGCTCCAGGGTTGCCAAATCGTTGAGTTATTTCTTTGATGTACCTTGAGCCAATTCCAATTGCATTTACAGGATTATGTGTTCGTGTTGCGTTACTATCCATCATTGCAGATCATCCTGCCATGTGCAAGATCTCTGGATTTGCTGATCATGGACACAAGAACACTCCTTGCCCAAAGTGCAAAGTTTCCAAGGCCAACCTGTTTACTGTCGAGTCGCTCAAAAATTGTCTGTCCCATTTCTAATTTCCATTGGTGAAGCTCAGAACTTAATTATTCTGTTTAATTTCTGCTGCAGGTTATCCTCAGCGGACAAGTACAGAACACAAACGACTTGCTAAACAATATTGGGATCTTGAAACTGACTCAGAGAAGGAACATTTCTTTGCACAGCATGGAGTTCGCTGGTCTGAATTTGTTCGTCTGGACTACTTTGATATTGTACGGTGCACGGTGATTGACCCCATGCACAATTTACTACTTGGTCAGGCCAAATAATCTTGCTAGTTGTTGATATTCATCCTCTTCAGGTGTTGCCAAGACACAATGGTATTCAGTGTGGATCAAGGGAAAGGTTCTCCGTGCAGACACCAGCAAGCAGGAGCGCGAGCTCCATTTTATTCATCAAATTTTGGAGACAGTTTGAGTCAATTTATCTGATCTCATGTCTGTTGTATTTTGACAATTATCCTCAGTTTGAGTGCCCATCCTGGACTGGTCATCTACCATTGCGCGTGGGCGAGCCTGCTGGTGGATCACTCACTGCAGATGAGTATAAATTTGCAGTCACAGCACCTTGGGCCATTATTGTGAGATGAAGATATTATTATCCACATGCACAGTATTAATTGATAGCGCAGATTCCAATTGTGTGGGATGTCTTCCGAGCAAAAGCAGAGGATGAACACACAAATGCTCAGAACAGATACATCAAGCAGATGGCAGAATATGATACAAAATATCAAGCCTGGCAGAGACAAAGGATTTCTCTTCGTGGTGATCCACCTCAACCGCCAGAGGCACCCATTCTACGCCTACAGCCAGGCGAAGAAGATAATTTCCTGTGTTTTGCAACTGCGCTCAAGATTCTGGTTGGCAGCTCAATCTACCGAGAGTTGATTCCCAGAGCAAAATCTCTGCTAGAGCAGTACCTGCTTGGCTTTCTTCAAGTGAGTTCCAATGATGATTAGATAGTTTGAAAATACAACTCACTACTCATTCATAAGTTTTATGGGTCTGAAAGCATGAAACCCAATCATCATTGGGCTGTTCATCTTTTTGACCAGATTCAGGATTTTGGACCTTTCTATTCTTTCTGGGCTTTTTTGACCGAACGCTTGAACAAGACACTCAAGAATACCAATAGCAATAACGGGACTGGTGGACAACTTGAAGTTTCAATGATGCGTGAATTTCAACGTGGTGTTCAACTTGAGACTGTGGTATGTCTCATGCTTGATCAGATTCAACAAATTTATTCTCCTTTCCAGATGAAAAAGATCTTGAACTCCAATACCAAATCAGCACTTGAGAAGGAGTTTGCTCGGATCCTCCTGGGAAACATGAACACTGGACCACTTGGAACCATCCAAGATGCTGCCCAGTCCAGTGCATGTATGATCTCTGTATCCTTTTTTGTGATTCCTCATTGGGTTGACTTAATTCCAGATTCCATGATAACACGTGCAGGACCAATCGGGAATTCTACCCATTTATTGGGGAGTGTAATGCGACAAGCATTGCTCAAGTTCTACAACAAGGACAGAGCCCAAGTCCATCTTGGTTCCAAAGATTTCGAGGGGACACATTCTCTCCATAATTATGTTCGAACTTACCAGCATGCCTTTCTTGCAGGCCGGAAAGTTATTCCTTGTTCTTTGCATGGGCGTCCAGTGGGATCATCATTGGTCCAAGCATATTTTAACAATGTTCCCCATGCTGGCGAGGTTCTCTATATATTTAGTCACCGGCAACCTGGCATCAGTGTCACCCACCAAGACCTTCTTGTTGCTATTCGATGGATGGTGCCTTCGGATTACAGTCCACTTGACAATACTGGACTGTGGGACTTGTTGTGAGTTCTTATTCCCAATCCTAGAGCAATTAGACAACTGAATTATATTATCTCAGTCCTGAACTTGGCGTTGAGACTTGGAAACTGAATCAATTTGTTGATCCAATCTCTAATACTCCCCCGATGATTGTTCAACTGGCCAATGTTCACTGCCAGGTGGCTCGTTGTACAGTCACTCACACTGATCCACCTCTATGGATCACAACCACAATTGACCGTGTGAGTGAATAATGACTCCATATACTTAGCATGACCTTACATATCTACTCAGTTCATGACCCCTGCAATTGCCGCAGGCTTTTCAGCAGAAATTGAGGAAGAAGAAAGTGACAATTAAAAGACATTTTACTGTAACTAGGGGTATCTGCAAGTATGTCTGAACTACTTATGTCCTCCTCCTATTGCCTATCTGCTGTGAGACTCGATGGGCATGTTATTAGCATCGACATTACTAGGTGTCCCAGATGCCTCGAGATCAGGATCAAGCCCACAAGGACCCGGATAAGTTCCCCATCCAGCACTGGTCAAATACTGTGCCATCTTGGCGTCCTTCATCTGATCTGCCAACCAATCCGGCCGGACCGCAAAATTGAATGGTGCTTTATTGGGCACACGCTTCGACATGCGAGTGGTGCCACGAACACGAATGTACTTGCGTTTATCCTTGTCAGTTTCTGTGAGCGAATCCTCGTAAATCTGGCTTAATTCGAGGTTGAAGTTTGTAGCCTGAAAAACTGCTGTCATAATTGGCGCAGAAGGAAGTCAAATCAATACTCACCTCATCAGTCCTCCAAGCAAGTTTGGATACCTCAAGGAAACGCAAATCTTGCACTGACTGTCGAGTGGCGTCCATTCGTCCCGTTGCCTTTGCCATCCGAACAGCCCAATCTAGTTTATCAGCATCTTTATCATCTGGGTCCGGTTCAGAGAACTCGTCAGACATGTGCTCAGGGTCTATGGCAGCTGCAATATCCTCCTCATTGAGATTATGCTCAGTCGCGTACTGGGGCACAGCTTCGAGGCGATGACCGTGTTTCTAGACTCATTTAGTGCTTGAAACGAAGAGTTCAGGCTGGAGAAACTAACTCACCGCTTTGCGCCGCTGCTCCCGACGGTCCTTGGCCTTGGCCTTGATCTTGTTCGCCAGAGCAACCTCGTCGACTTGGGTCTTGTATTGCTTCTTGAAGCCTTTGAAAGACTCCTTCGCAAATGCTTGGAGCAGATGGCGATCAACTGTTGCTCCACATGTGTCAAACTTTGCTGGGCGACAGTCGGGATCCTAGCGGGCGCATATCATTAATGTGGATTTAAAGATGCCAGAGGTACGAGACAAACCTCGAGTTCCCTGAGTACTTCATCAGCAACAGCATCAATGAGCTTGACGTTGTTACGATCGGTCACTCCTCCAGGGAAGTTTGGAGTAAAAAGATGTTCGCCCGTGGATGAATCGATCCGAACAACAGACGGGTCGGGCCACGGTTCCTGTGCTGTGATCCCGCAGAGATTGCGGAATGTAGAACCAACACGGCGCTGCAGAGGGATAGAGTGAGAGAAGCGAGAGGATCAAAGAAGTAATGGCGCACTGTGATCTTACTCCGCACTTCCTGTTGGTCCTTTGTGAGGTCTTTGTGAGGCAACCCCAAAGAAACAAGAACAGCTGGCTTCACCGGCGGTCGGGCACCCGCGGCAGGTTGCACGGAAGGTACGACGGGGTTCTGCGAGACTGAAGACATTGGGTTGGCCGGTTTAGTGTAAGGAGCCAGACGCCGAGTAGCAGGCTCTATTTGTGGCACAGGTCCATCGGTGCAGTCATCGAAAACAGGATTGGGAGCTGGCGGCAAGATGTCCTACAGCCCGAGTCCAACGTTAGACGTCGCAAACGAATGGTAAAACAATGACAGCGCACCATTTCCCCAGGAGCATAATCGTCGCTATCAATCTCCGCACGACTGTATCCCTGGCGCCCCGATCCACGCACAACTGGCCGGGCCAGCTCAGCTTCGAGCTCATTGTTGCGTCGACGTAGCCACTGGTTCTCTTCTTCCGACTCGCGCTGGCGCAACTCCAGCTGTGCCAACCGCTCTTCAATGGATGGCGGGAGCTGGCGATCACGGCGTCCACGCTGATTGTGATGCGAATCTTGAGGCACGGGGGTATTGTAAATATCGTAGTTGGAATAGGGTGCTGGCGATCGAGTGAAAGGCTGGAGGATACGAGGCGCCGGTGGAGAGCCTTCAGGCGATGTAGCAGACCGCATCGCGTGAGGACCGCTGCGCCAATGGCTTCGGTTTCCATCAGCGAAGACAGGCAGTTCCAGAATCAAATGAACATACCTAGGCGGCGGACCTCTCCCCAATGCACGTCTCGAGTCCATTAAAAGAATAAAAGAACTGTACGGCGTCCACACCGTTGCAGGATCGCGTCGAAAGAATGTGGAGGTCTGAGTCAAGCGGAGATGTCCCTGGATTTCCACGCCTGAACAACATCTCCAGCGGCCGCAGCGTAAGAGGACCGGGGAAGACAAAAGTTAAAAGCGACATGTTTTCTCCGAATTCGACCAAAATTTCGTACGCACGCTGATCCCTTCGCACAGGTGCCATGCTACGCGGCCATGGCAACGCTGATACAGCTTAGGTGTGTGCCTTGGGCGCACTGGTGGGGACATACATTGACGAACATAAGGGCAATCCAGTAGAGAAATCCTTGATATCAAACAGCGCATAGATATTAGAGCTAGTGATTGAGAAGGTGAGTGCTGATAGTCCCCGGGACAAGGAGGGCCGATACGTCACCTAACGGTGACCACCCACGCGGTCGCGGAGGTGACTACTCGAACAGGGCCCAGATCGGTCGTCGGAGTCCCCACCCGGGGACCAGAGCCATAGCCCCTGATGGACCAAGTGACTAGACTCCTCTGGACCATCAGACGGTCAAATATCGGCCGTTCTAGTCCCTTCGGAGACTAGGCGACCACGGAACGTAGTGATGTCTAGCGGTGGTCTTAGTTCAACCGGCGGAGTTCCAGTGGCACTGGCGGTGGTTAGACCCAAGAGGATGCGAATCTGATCTAGCGGGTTCCACGGCTGATTCATGTACTTAGCCCGGACCTGGGGCTTTCCATCACAGACGTCCCAGTCTGAGCCTGATCGGCCCATGCGTTGGTCCAGTCCGGGCTTGAAAGTCTAAGGCCGGGTACCCGGGCTTTCGGGCATCAGGCCCGAGCCTGTACCGCACTCACTTCGCCAATTTTTGGGCCGCATCCGGCCGGTCCGCTGAGGACATCGACGACGGGAACGTGTGAGCCGATCTCAAAGCGGAGGCGATTGTTCTTAGGAGTTAGTTGAAACTTAGAGAAAATACCGATGTACTGAAGTACAGCAGATATCTACCATAGAACTCAGCCTGAAAGCGGGCCGAAGCGTGCGATAGCCTGATGGGATTCGGTTTGAGCCCGAATCTGCTCAGTCATCTTCTGCAGCCACTTAAACATGTGCTAACGCGACTGCAGATTCGTCATGACACTGGACGCTTAGAATTTCTCAGCAGCACTGTGGCATTTATAGATCTCCGAAGCTACATAAGCACTGACAGGAGAAGGTGCATCGACGCTTCATTAACAACGAAGGCGAAACAGCCAGCATGAAATCCTCAACCTCTTTGGCTTGCACAATTCTTGCACTCAGCTCCATCTCAGCTGCACTGGGATCTGACAACTCCACACACGACCTTAAACCGTTCCGTATCGATCTCGGTGCTGGGATTCCGCATCTCCAAACCTTGCTCAATGTGACCAAGCTGCCCAAGGCCCCGTTGTATCCTGGGACCAGTCCGACTTATGGTATTGATCTCGACGACCTAAAAGCGTGGAAGTACGAATGGGAGCATGGTTATAACTGGACAGCGCAGGAGCTCTCTCTTAACAGGTGCGTGCTTTTTCATTGCTTCCTTTGTGTGAATCGTCCATTGAGAAACGGATTCCAGATTCAGTCACTTTACGGCCCAAATCGAAGATCTCTCCATTCATTTCGTGCATCAGAAGTCGCGCGTGCAGGGCGCCATCCCCGTGCTATTTCTTCACGGATGGCCAGGTGAGTGGGAATTCTATCCATGACTGAGTCCTTCCAACACGAATACTCCCGGGCCAGGGTCATTCTACGAGTTTGAGCCCGTCATCGAGTCATTGACGGAGGCTTTCACCGACTCCAACGGATCCACAGTCGCGTTCGATGTGATCGTTCCCTCGCTCCCTGGATTTGTCTTCTCGTCCGCACCGCCGTTCAATTGGACTGTGGACGACACTGCGAGGGTCTTCAATACGCTGATGATCGACGTGCTAGGATATCCCGCGTATGCTATCCACGGGACTGACTGGGTCTGTATCTTTATCCTGTCCCCTCTCTCTCCGATTCCCAATTGAATCTCACTCGCGGTTCGCAGGGCAGCGGTGTAGCGTACTCGCTGTACAGCAACTTCAACCGAACCGTATCCGCTGCGAGCTTTGTCTTCTTGCCCTCCGCTTCACCCACCGTGGCTGAGATCGCCGCCGCAAACGTCACGCTCTCGCCGGCAGAGCAGGTCACGGAGGCCCGGGGCACTACTTGGTCGACTATCGGAAACGGTTATTTCTTGGAGCAAACCTTCAAGGTGAAGGATCCCATTAACGAACCGGAGCCAGACCGGATGCTAACATTCACCTAGCCGCATGACATTGGATTGGCCTTGTACGATAACCCCGTGGGGCAGCTGGCCTGGATCGGCGAGAAGGTTAAACTGTGTGAGCCCGAGAGCAGGTTTCCCCGTCAGAGCGCTCTGACTGCTCTCTCCTAGGGTCTGATCCGCGCGCTGGCCAATCTCCGTCGGTCTTGAACTCCACTGCCATTCTGAATCTCGTATCCCTTTACTACCTCACTGAAACTTTTGAGTCCGCCGCCTGGATATATGCGCAAAACCCAAATGGATTCGGCACGCCGTATGCAAAAGCGCCGACGAACGCGCCGTTGTTCTTCACACAGTACGAATACAATATCGGGTCGTGGCCTGAACAGTGGGTTTCGCGGGTCGGAAACCTTGTTTCCTATAAAGGTGTGTTCAGAACAAGCGACGATTGGGAGTTTGATTGAAAGTTTGACCTTTGCAGTTGCGGATTTTGGTGGCCATTTTGCGGGGCTGGACAATCCACCGCAGTTCGTGGCTGATATTCGTGAAATGGGGCTCTTCCTGAAACAATAATATGATCACCCGTAGCACTAGGATTTAGACTAATGTCATGGCTGTAGCCATAAAAACCCTACACTATTTTATGAATGGTAGCCATAGCATGGCTGTAGCCATGCATATTAGTCTATTGTGTGATCATGTGATGTATCATGTGATCTCCATCAGCTGCCCACAAGTGAAACCCTGCTGTGTCCCTCCTTCTCGGACTTAAGACAGGTTCGGGTTTGGGATAGGGTTTGGGTTCGGGATAGGGCTTCGGGTCCCAAAAATCATTTTTTTTTACTGGCTAGGGTTCGGGTTGGTTAGCGGTCAGGGTTGGTAGGGGTTTCGGGTGGTTAGAGGTTAGGGTTGCTCCTTGCCCTAAGTGGGGGAAACATTTTTTGGCAAATATTGTTAGGGTTCTAATTGACAATATGTGTTCAATGAGTATGCTGTTATGGCTCAATGGTTATTGCTGCAGATCTGTCTCCTTTTTTGGAAGAGTCACGAGTTCAATCCCGGGTCAATCCCGGGTCATGGCTACCATTCATAAAATAGTCTACGGTTTTTATGGCTACAGCCGTGTGCACTAGTCTAAATCCTACTGCTATGGCTCTTCCCAAAGCTGTGATGTGATCCTGCCCAATATTAGTCGTCCCTAATGGGTTCAAGGTCAACAGAGTCATCTTTTGGGGGTAGGTTTGGGCTAGCACTAATGATGATGACTTCCCAGTTCAGTGTCCACAAGCTGCGGTCTCTCTTTTTTGGGTTGAATAGTGGCCTCCATTCATGCAAGGGACTGGTGTGCATTGTGCAAAGAAAAGTAATTGAGAGTGTGAAGTAATCACTAGCACGGCCATTTCCACCATTAATTGGCATGAAATTTTCAATGTCAGTGTTATGAAAGGGTATACATATGCTTGCTCATAACCGACCCACAACATACCCAGCACTAATCTTAACGGGATACCACAGGCTCAAATGTGGGGAAGATCTTGGCGGCCATGCCAGTCGCACCTGCCACACAAGATTTCACGTGGCAACTGTCTTTGCGTCACCGCTCCCGGCGTCCGTTGGGGGCCGGCCGTCAAGCGCGCTCTCTCTCTCTCTCGCCTGCCATGGCTATCGACCTGCAGCAACCGAACCTGACTCTCTGCGTGCGACGCCCCTCTGCAGCCGCGAAATCGCCGGCCATCGTCGTGGGCCGCAGTTCGCTCCCCAGCACTCTCCCGACGAACCACATCGTGATCAAAGTCGAGACGTTCGGTTTCTCCGCTAACAACGTGACGTACCAGGCGCTCGGAGAGCAGCCGCATTTCCGGTCAGTCGCCTTTTGTCTTCAAAGTCGTCAGGCTATCAGCTCATCTCGACGGCGCGCAGGTACTTCGACTTCCACCCAGTGCCAGCTGACATCGCTGGTTCCGTCGCTGCTCCTAAGACGCATGGCCTCGTCCCCGTTTGGGGCTTTGGTACGGTAGTGGCTTCCGCTCATGCCAAGATTCCGGTGGGAGAGAGGGTGTACGGGTACTTTGCCCCGGCGAGATACCTGGTCGTACCTGTGTCCCCGAACGACGTCAACAAGCATGCATTTTATGTCCCGCGGCCGCATCTTCCTGAAGGTACGTCTTTCATCATGCGCGTGGTCCTGGCCTCACCGCACCACAGATAGGCGACCATACAACCAGATCATCCGCTGTGCGACCGACCCGCAATACTCGTCTTCTCCGCTGGACGAGGCTCTGACGATGCTTTACCGCCCACTGTTCTGGACCGCGTTCTGGTTCGAGGACTGGATGCACACGCTCAACTACCGCGGCGCCTCCGCGTTCCTCATCTCCAGCGCGTCCGCGAAAACCGCCTTCTGCGCAGCGTACGTGATCCGCAAACGTCGCGCGCGCGAGGGAGCGGACGTGCGCATCGTCGGGCTCACCTCGGCCCGGAACCTCGCATTCACGCAGGGGCTAGGGCTGTACGATGCGGTGTTCACGTACGAGCAGCTGGCACACGTGGTGCCGCGCGAGCGGCGGTGGGTCTACGTCGACGTCGCGGGCAACGACGCGCTCAATACCCGGCTGTTTGCGGAGTTCGCCGCCGAGGGGCGCAGGGAGAAGGGTATATGCGAGCTCGTGACGTCTGTCGCGCTGGGGATGACGAATTTGGCACCAGCATCTGAACAGGCGGGGGCGTTCGACTGGGGTGCGAACACAGCTAAGGCTCCTCGCGATGGGACGTCCGGGACGCGCATGGAACAATTCTTCATGCCCGAGTGGCTGAGCGTGCGTAAGAACCAGCTCTCCTTGGAAGAGATCTTCGAGCGCCAGCACCGCGCGTGGGCGGATCTGATGGTCGATGGCAAGAACTGGGTCAAGATTGTCCATGTGTCAGGCGCAGAACGAGTGAAAAGTGCCTATGAGCGTGTTGCGGAGGACGGCTTTTCTCCCGATATCGGGTTCATTTGGAGCATGTGGGACTCGAAGGATGCGAAGTTGTAGATACATTACGGGCGTAGCTATCTCAAATTTTTACTCTTTGCATGTTTCTTGTTCCCCATCATCCATCAGCAGCCCCCGCCCGTCCGCCCCTAATTTTATGCTTTGATTTTCGGTTGGCCGCGGAAATCTATTTGAGGCATGGCAAACCTTTTACAAGCTGCATTCTGGCAAAAAATGTCGTAAAGGAGTGGGATAGACATTGGTTGCCTTGCTTGTCAAGGCTTCTCCAGACCCTTAATTACGTAAAATCATAAAAATTTGATGAACCTGATCCGGCCTCTGATCCGTTCTGATCAATCTTGCCAGTTACACACATCTGCATGTTAGCTGTGCATGCGAATTTGACATTTGTGACCGGCTTTGCTCTATCAAGGCAAATATGTGGTTGATCATCTTTGTATGTATGATTTTGAGGGCAGAATCATCGCACCATAGGATTACATGAAAAAGCTCCCCAGTGCTTCTGTTGCAGTCACTTTCACTATGACCCACTACTCGTTCACAAGCCAGAAAGAGGACATGTTTGTTGCAGACATTGTCAAGATATACGTCATCAAGTCTCAGATTGCACTGCCGCCCAGCCCAAAGAAGTGTTGGCCAGCTGCACCTGATATGGATGATAGCCCAAAGAAGAAAAGGACGAGGGCTGCTGGGGCTTAATTATGACCAATGTCTTTGTTGATATTTTTGCAATCTTTGTGTTGAGTAGCAAGGCATTCTGTTGGCAGAGCCGACGCTTTCTAGTTGCCTTGCTTGTCAAGGCTTCTCCAGACCCTTAATTACGTAAAATCACAAAAATTTGATGAACCTGATCCGGCCTCTGATCCGTTCTGATCAATCTTGCCAACACACATCCGCATGTTAGCTGTGCATGCAAATTCAACGTTTGTGACTGGCTTTGCTCCCACCTTTTTGCGGTATCAAGGCAAATATGTGGTCGATTGTCTTTGTGTGTATGATTATGAGGGCAGAATTATTGCACCGGAGGATTACATGAAAAAGCTCCCCAGTGCTTCTGTTGCGGTCACTTTCACTATGACCCACTACTTGTTCACAAGCCAGAAAGAGGACACGTTTGTTGCAGACATTGTCAAGATATGCGTCATTGAGTCTCAGATTGCACTGCTGCCCAGCCTGAAGAAGTGTTGGCCAGTTGTACCTAATATGGATGATAGCCCAAAGAAGAAAAGGACAAGGGCTGCTGGGGCTTAGTTATGACCAATATCTTTGTTGATATCACTGTGATCCTTGTGTCAAATAATTGTTAGGGTTATCTTTTTCATTGTGCCAAGTAGCAAGGCATTCTGTCGGCAGAGCCGACACTTTCTAGTCTGACCCTAACCCCCGATAAGTACTGTATGTGAGGGTGATGTTGGCCACCTAAGGGGTTTCACCCTTGTATACTATGACCGAATGCCTTAAGCACTACTCTAATGTCTCAGAAACATGACCTACCTTCTTAAGAACTACCTCCAAGTTGCCGCTTGTTTTTATCTGTGGCGAATCTTGATCAATGAATATTTTCCCGCGGCGACTGCCAAACCGGGTCAACCGGACTAGTTGACCGAGCGTGGGAATATGCCAGCTCAGACATTCTCATGAGCGTTCTCGTCGTTTGTACGCTACCTGCTGCAATTCCAACACATCGTACACTATCTCACGTCAATATATTACTCGTTAGAGGCCTTGACCGTCGCGTCTATCAAGAATTTGCGTCTTGGCAGCAGGAGAGGGTCCTCAAGAGAGTGGCGCTGAAGATATTCATCCATTGCTGTGCAGTCGTCAACGTTGGAGAGTGGCTCCCAGGTTGCATCGTCGTCGTTCCAGAGAATGAGAAGCTGGAGATGCTTCCGCTTGAACCACCGGTGCCCGTTTACAGCCACAATCCCCGTCTCTTCCTCGTCCTGCACCTCATCCTCCTTCGTGTCCTCTGCATGCCAGTGCGTCGAGTTGTCAGTATCAGAGTCATTTCCTGTTGGAATACCAACGAAAACATCCTCTGGTGAGGCTGCAGCTGTCGTAGCATCCACAGAGCCCAATGTGGTGCTGTTTTCGACATTGCTCCCTCCCTTGCCTTCTTTACCTCTTTCTTCCGCATCACTCTCACCCTCGCTCTCCTCATCCTCAAACTCCTCGCCTTCGTCCTCACTCTCCTGATCCTCGCTCTTCTCGTCCTCGCTCTTGTCCTCGATCACGTCCTCACTCTCCACATCGATGTCATCGCTCTCCTCTCCACTACTCTCCATCTCTTCTTCTGCCGCCTCCGTCTCAAGAGCTACATGCCCGCCCCGACCACGGTTACCACGGCCTCGACCGCCACGGCCTCGACCTCGACTGCCACGGCCTCGACCTCGACCTCGACCTTGACTAGCTGCTCTCTCCGCTGCTTTCTCTGCCTTCTTGGCTCCTCTCTCCGCTGCTTTCTCCGCCTTCTTGGCTGATCTCTCAGCCGCCTTCGCTGCCTTCTCCGCTGCTTTCTTCGCCACCTTTGCTGCTTTCTCTGCGGCCTTCCTTGTTTTCTCCAATTCCTTCTCAGTCGCCTTTGCTGCCGCCTGCGCTTCATTTTCATATGCGGTGAGCGCCTTTCGTACTTCTGCCAGCTTCTTCTTCATGCCCTGATGGAGCTCAGACATTGCTTTCTTGTGGTCGTCATGCAAGAGCGCTTCTAACATCTCATTGCCTGTCATCAGTCTCGGAGCTCCGGTGTTGTATGCTCTTCGATCTTTCTTCTTCTTGCTGAGAAGCTGTTGTCGGACGCGCTGATGCTCCCTTGCCATCAAGACAATCTGGGCATGATTCTTCTCCAATTCGATTGCTGCCTCCTCTAACATTCCGCGCAGTTGCTCGTTCTGGACTTCGACGCGAGCTCTCGAAGCGTTGGATGGGAGCCTGGGAGGGAGCTCAATCTTGTAGAGCGAATGAGGACGGTCTGGGTCTCCAATCGATGTAGCGGTCGATGGCTCTCTCGTGGCAGATGACGGAATGAGCCTTGTTTGTGAACATGTGACTGTTGCAGAGCCACTGTTGTCGGCTCTGCCGAACACGATAGGTGACAATTCGAGAGCATCGGAAAGAGCTGACTGCGCCGTAGCGCCAACGGTCACTGTGCTAGAGCTGGATGATGTCTCGAGTGCAGTGGGTGGAGTCGAAGCGCCAGAAGTGGATGCGCCACTGGGAGCAGCATCGCGGATGTCCTCAGTCTCGCTGTTCATCAAGTGCGCATTGTTGAATGCCTCTTCCATTGGAACACCATCAGCGCTAACCGTGGTGCGGTCTGCATCCACCCCAGACTCCACAGTCGATTCTACCACGGGTGTTGCTGCAGGCGCTTCGACTGGGACAAGGAGGGCTGGCACTCTCAGTTCGAAGATTGATGCGTCTTGGGTGGTATAGTTTTTGGATGGCGCGAAGAGTATTCCTGGGATTGCATTCTCGTCTAGGGGGTGGATTCCGCATTTGCGAAATGCGTTGAGGATTGTTGCTTTTTTGAATGCGCGTGTTCTGGCTTGATGATAGTTATAGAGCAGATTACACTTGTCAATGACAACTCCAGTGGCGGTTTGCTGATAGAAGTAAGAAGCCAGAACTCTATAATATACATTTACACACCTCAATGACTTGCTTTTTCCAATATGTCGCAAGTGGACCGAAGATACCAACATCACAGGGTTGTAGCGCGTGTGTTGTATGAGCCGGTAAGCAGATGATGATGATTTTATGATCCTTGGCATATGAGACGAAGGTGTAGGTGCAATGGCTGTTGTGACCATCGAGAATAAGGAGGCGATAGTCATTGGGATTGTCCAAACGAGCGGCTGATTGTGGGTCAAAGTCTTTCTTCAGCCAAAGTGTGCCGAGTTCTTGATCCGTCCATCCGTTTGGTGAAAGTGAGATGCTAGCAAGCAAAGATGTGAGGTAACGGATTGTGAATGCTTGTATACAGCGGACCTAGCATTGCACGGGTTGTTTGCGCCCCATCTGTTGTCCCGTCGCAGTCCTTGGAACACAACCGAAGGACAGAGGACCTCTCCGTCCGCGCTGACACATTCGATAATTGTGACAAGCTCACGATTCCCATTCGCAATTGCTTGGACATTCCTCTGGTCCCGATCTACAACGACTTGAAGACGGCCAGCCATCCCCAGTTGAATACCCTTCTCGTCCATATTGTAAATGTGCTTCGGTTTGATATTGAACTCCTGGATCACCCTCGACAACATCTCGAAGTACTTGTGAACAACCGGTCTAGTAAGCGACTTGGCACGGCACTCTTCAAGACTGGCGGCGTTCTTGACCTGTCGGCAACGGCATGAGCATAGATATCAACAGATAGAAAGATTAGTAGACACACCTTCAATGCATCTTTATGCCTGACCAAGAAGCGACGACCCCAGGTCTTGCCTAGTTCTTTGCCAGCAATCTGACCAGCATACGCATTAATCATCTCGACCGTTAGTGGGATTCCTCGATGGCCAAGAACCTTGGAACTCTTCAATTCACATTCACTGTAGAAACAACAATCACAGACCTTGATGAACTCGACGAAAATCTCTTCCTGTGCCGGACTGACAGCGCGCTCCTTTACGTGTGCTTGTTCCCGAGTCGGCATGCCCTTTATTCGGTTTGCGACAGTAGCACGGTTGACACGATATAATGCACAGGCTTCGCGCTGCGATGTGCCACGTTTGATAGCAGCGATGGCCAATTGCTGTCGGTCATACAGCAATAGAGATTTCAGGTCGGCGTCATTCAGCTCGAGCTCGTCATCAAGAGTTGAACCGTTTGCGTCGTTGTTCATGGTCGACATTGGTGGTCAAGAGGTCTGGTGGTTAAGCTCCAAAACAGACCGCATACGTTGTTCAGGGTCGACGTTAACGTAGTTGCATTGATGTAGCGTCGGGTTATTGAAAGCTAATTGTACAGTGTCGATCACTCTTCACATTCACATCAGAGGAGAAACATAGATTGTACAATTTAGGCGATGGGTACCATGGACGGTACACATCTGGAAGCAACCTCAGCACCGAGGACTGCCTCAATTGATTAATAGTACTCACAATCGACGATTCCTCGAAGCTGAACCTGCAACCGCTCGAGAATGTCTGGTGACAGTGTGTAACAGTGTGGCCCAGGCAGGTGCAGAAGAACGGGCTGAACAAGGGGCTGGGATCGACAGTGTTCGATCAAGGCACCAACCAAAGTTGGCTGGCCGGGAGTGTGGGCAGCACCATGTGTGTCTGTGACGGAAGCATCAAAAGTGAGAATAACGGAAACAGTTGTCCAAGTAACCTGCTGACGATCTGAGCGTGTGTCCGAGACGAAGGTAGGATCATGGCGGAATGTAGATAACATGAGGAATGGCCGTCGGTGAGCAGAATAGGGGCGGCTGCATCATTCCTAGGCGGTCGGGTGAATTGGGCCAGTCACCGATGCTATGAGCAAAGAATAATGAGCGTAAAAGAACATATAGCGCACCTTAAGTCAACAGACGATCCCTCTACATCCCTGAACAACTGCACATAGCTTGGGAGCCTTGATCAGTGGGAGGAGCGACGAGGCGCATGATCAGTGCAGAATGGAGATGGAGGAGGTGATTCGAAAGGTTAAACAACGTCCAGGAGGAGTGTAAGACATACCTGGATACTTCCCTGAGCACACGGGACCCATTTGAACCGCTGAGTGTCCTCATATTTTAACGGGTCTCCGACACATGCATTGGCCCGTGTCGGATGAAGTCCACAGTGCCAAGACATGAAAAAAATCGACTAAAATATGTTAGCACCGGGATATGGTGGTATAAGATGCATACATGAATGGTAGAAAGTTTCAAGAGCATAGAGTCAACCGTTCGTCACCAATACATGTCGCAAGTCAGGGTCCTGCGGCCTGGAGAATCCATCATGCGGTTGACAACATCGTGGCCTGGTGAGCAACACTATTCGAGGATCGATTTGAGGCATGCACGTCGAGAAGAGGGAAGTCCAGGCTGTCGAATGCCCCCCCGACCGCCGCGAACGGTGCAGGGAAGAAAGTGTGGGAGCCCGTTCGGGCAAGAAATCAGCCCACCCAAATAAGGAACTGACCCGGTGCCTCCCGATCACAATGACACATCGATCCTGACAGACGCCCATGATATGCGACCGAGGTCAAATTTGGGCCACAAGGGCATTAGACATCTCTCTTCCATCCTACATACACGAAATCATCGGAAACTCAACGGTTCCCTTTATATAACCAAAATGGCCAAGTACACAGTGTGGTCAACTAGACCCTCACATATAGTATGGTCTTTTGTTGATGTCCCATCACTCGGACCCGTGACATGTCGACATGACTCTCTGATTGCTGTGGTGTCGAAAGCCGAGATCTATCTCCCCATAATTCCGAAATCTCTGTGGGTCCTCCGTATCTTTGGACCTCAATGTTTTCAACTGTCCCCCATTCACTCTGCAGAAACCCAAGGTCTGGGGGTATATCTTCTCTCCGAAAGGTCCTTAGACCTCCAAAGTCTTCGCCGAAGTGATTTTCCACTCGACTCCGAGCCGATTCACCGCACGCCTCCAAGAACCCTGCTTCTGATATTCCCTCTCACTCCTTTGGGTGGTATGACACAGTGCATACAGGCTGGGGCTCGCAGGGATACACGAGGTGCATATATGCATCACCATCAGGATTCAGCAGAGAACCGCCGAGCTTGTTCGGGATCCGATTCTGGCATGACGACAGCCACGACAATTTGGTGCGTTTCAGCGCTCTTCGCATCCCCTAGTGCAATCTCGAGGAAGAGACAGGGTCGCATCATCCTCAAGTCCCTTGTGGAGCGGGGTTTTTGTGGCTCGCTACAAAAAACAAGAAATACCAAGTCATCGGGTATGCGTCGATCGTTTGGATTGGATTGGAGGCCGCGGAAGGATGCATTGGTCTGAGGTATCTAGATGATCACGCTGAATTGTTTGGTAGATCCCGAGCAGTGGTAGGAGGACGCGGCGGAGAATATTTGGGCAAAGCGCCGCGGCTCCTTGGATCAGCTCCAGCACTCGCAGGCTGCTCGCAGGTGTGCGCTTCGAAGTCGGTGGACATCCCTGGCGGCGACTAAACTTGAGCCAGGGTAGCCATGCACGTGCCTTGATGCCTGATCATCATCATGCGGGAATCAGAGGGTGATCAAAGGGCTTGGTGCGCAGAAACAGATCTGCCGGTGGCCCTCGTGGGTGGGTACTAGGATGAGTCTAGTCGGCGACCTGATGAGTGCCCTTGGACCTAGTGACCATAACAACCTGGCCCACGATCACCAACCCTGGCGAGTTGGGCTCGAGTGAAGAGTCCAGGCCTGAATCGCGCCGGATGGCCCTGGTATGGCGAGATCGACATTTTCTTCTCGTTGTCTGGCGGCGCATTGAAGATTGGGTGGAGCTCAAATTTCATGTGGCAAGCGCCTGCAAAATCGCGACGCTCACATGGAGCAGTATGAACTCTACGGGAGTGCGATTGATTGCTCATGAAGTGCGTTTTACCTGAGAGTTGTGGTCAGACTACAGAGCCATCACTGATTCTGACTCGATTTCATCCTCCCCAGGTGAAACAGAGGTCACAGATGACGCGAGCCCTCCTGTTCACCACTCTCACCTGACTGGCCTTTCTGCCAGCGGATCTTCATACATCACGCTCAGCTTTAAAGGAGAGATTGCCTACAACTGCTAGACTTATCGTCCGGACCATCTCTCCATCGCACACAGCCTTTCTCCATTTGCAACAAGTCAGTAGCGCTTCGCGGACAGAGTCAGGTTTCCCGATTAGTACTAGACCTCACCAGCTATTTTCAACCGCCCGTGCTAACACCCCCGCGCGAACTTCGACTGAGGTCAAGTCCTCGGTTAAATGGGTCCCCCAGGGCCGAGGCCCGATGGCCCTTGCTGCCTGCCGCCCAGGCATCCCGTTCTTTGCGACGACCGGTGATTTCATCGATGGCTGTCTGACCCCCCCACTCCGCGATCTGGTCATCGCAGTGCCATATCGGGATTTTTGTTTGAAAACGCCACCGTACGACTTCTCCCGGACGGAGGTCAGGTCAGGTCACTCTGCTGGATGGCATCTTCTCGCTTTGCAAGGCCCGCCCGGGGACACATGATAGATACTCTACCAGCCGTGCGCCGTTTTTTCATATAAATCTGCGATAGCTGGGGACTCAAATTATCTACCACTATGCTGTCCGCGTTCTTCCTTGCCACCACAATCCTACTGCCCGTCTCTGTCCTCGCCGCGTCGTACTCCCGCACGCAGAATATTGTTGGGACGGGATTCTACGATGCGTTCGACTTTGAGGCGATCCCGGATCCCACCCACGGTCGAGTGTCTGTCTCTGTCCCAGCTCACAGTGTGCTGGATCCCCTGACGTGTGGACATCCCACTCTAGGAACTACGTCAGCGAAGCCACTGCGCGGGCGTTGAATCTGACGTATGCATCCGGGAACACCTTCATTTTACGGGCGGACTCGACGACGGTCATTAACGATGCAAGCCCCGTTGGACGGAACTCGGTCCGGATCATCTCGAAGAGCTCGTATTCGACGCATGTCGCGGTGTGCGTTTCGAGAACACTGATCTTTGATCGTATGACTGGCTGACTGAGGTCTAGGTTCGACGTCGTCCATATGCCTCAAGGATGCGGGTAAGCTGAATTTTTCATCTCGTGGGATGTCCCTAACGGAGAGTTTACAGAACGTGGCCAGCAATGTAATTGTTTTTGCTTTCGACGCAGTGACATGTGGAATCTTAATCTTTTTTGAATAGCTGGGAGACAGATGCGACAAATTGGCCGCGCGGGGTGAGTTCCTTGGACTCTTATATGTCGTCAGTCCCCCAATCAGATCTTATCAGGGCGAGGTAGACATCTTGGAAGGTGTAAATGACCAGGGACCGGATACCGTTACTTTGCACACCTCACCAGGTAAGAAGCTCCCAAATTGTGCATGACATGGCTTCCGTTCTCAAACAATCCGTTCAGGATGCACGATGCCCGGAGCGCGGGTTCAATCCGGGTCAGTTTTCTCGAAGATCTTTACTCCGAGCCTCTTATGCTCACATCCCACACAGAACCGCTCTGCAGCTAGACTGCAACACGGCAGTGAATGCAAACTCAGGCTGCGGCGTGAGCGTCGGGCAATCGCTCAGCTACGGCCCTGCGTTCAACGCCAACGGCGGGGGGTGGTACGCGATCGAGCGGACGACGGCTTTCATCAGCGTCTGGTTCTGGCCACGCGGCGCAGGCAACGTTCCCTCCGACGTGCGCAACGGTAGGGGCACTGTGGTGACGGATAACTGGGTAATCCACCGCGCGTCACCCCGGGTTTCGTGCTGACTCATCGCACAGGGCATCCCGGTTGCCAGCTTCCCGAATACGGACTGCAACTTCCCCCAGTTCTTCGATGCGAACAACATCATCATCAACCTCACGCTCTGTGAGTCTTCTTTCCATCTCCGGGATATCCCGTGATGCTAAGTATCGCAGGTGGCGATTGGGCCGGAAATGCCAATGTCTATGCGGCCTCCGGGTGTCCCGCCACGTGCTCAAGTGAGTCCATAACACGCACTGCGGTTGCCGAAATTAACAGCGGCTCGCGCAGGCTTCGTTAATGCGAACCCAGCGGCCTTCGCGCAGGCGTACTTCCAATTCAACGCGATCAATATCTACGCTTGAACCCGACCGACTGTGAGGCGCCGACCGCTGATCTGATGCGTACGACGCGAGCTGAACAGGGACCGCAGCAGCCTATTTTAATCCACCCTCTCTCGTGATCGACAGGACTAGGAAACACGTTTCCAGACTTTCACGCAGAGATGACCGATCGAGACCGGAAATTCTAATACTGCATACATACATACTGTCTTGTAATTGTAGCACAGAATCACGAATAATCGATGCAGCCGAGAGCGTGCGTGATCCGAAACCCTCATCAAGAAAGTGTTGCCGCGAGGTGAGTCGAGTCGAGCCGATGCCATCAACTCGTGCGACTTCGACAGTTCGAGTCGAGCCGAGTTGCGATCGAGTTGCTGACGAGTTTATTCATGTGACATGACAAGCATTGATTCTGCCCTAGCCATAGGCGCATTTTACAACTTACACTGATACTGAGTATGCATTGCCTATATTGCCGGAATGGGATGGAATCTACTCCATGACATAGGAATCATAAACTAAAATGTAATACCACTTGCTTTTTCAAGTTAATTCTCACATTCATTAGTCTGCCTGCTCAATATCACTCCGTATATTGTGTGCTTGGTGATGTCACCCATGATTGTGTGGCTCTCATTTTTGGCCAAAAGTTGTGTGCAGATTCTGGCCGCTGCTGCTTGGACATATATTCGAGACACTGAGGAGCCCAAGCATATGCATGCCTTGTCCATAGCTTGGATGTGTTGACACACCTGTTGCTGCTGTGAGCATGTCAGAAACTGCCATAGAAAGGTTTGTGATGCAAAGTATCTGAACAAGGTCGGGCTTGCAGAATATGATGAACAATGAGCAATGGAAGGCAACAGCAATGACAACAGCAGGGACAAAAATGCAACAACAAGGCAGAGAGCAAATATAAAGCTTAGTCACTCAGATATACAGATCTGGAAGAGAAAGTTTTTTGTTTCTCCTTGTACATCCATCTACTACTTATACACTGTCCTAAATACCAATGAAGAAACAATAGAAAAATTACAGTATTGGTGTCAGTGGGGAATTGCATCCAAAACTGCTCAAAATGTGCTGTTTTTCTCATCTACTTCTCATGCCAGTGAGATCCCTCTAGTGCAGCAGGAGCCCTCAATATGGTGGTGTTGCAGCAGTCATTAGACAGCTTGCGATCAGCTGCCAAATGTTGCCCAGCCACTCCAATGGTATGTGATGCAGGTGGCTATGTCATTTGGGGCAGCTGTCAAGTTGGTGTACCATGTGACTTGTAGTTGCCATATCCTCTCTCAAACAAACACTACCACTATTATTCTCTACTTTTACTATGCCAATTACAATACACCACATATGAAAGATTCTGGCATCAAAAACACACAAGGATCCAAGAGACGTGCCTGTTGAGGATGAGTCTGCTGACAGAAATGCTCAGCAATGTGAGGACAGTCCTGACTGGGCAACCATACACAACTGAGATGATAGAGATGAAGAGGATAATGAAGGAGATGAGGTGAATGAGGGAAGCGACAATGATAACAAGTTGGATAATGACAAGAGTGATAAATGTGTCTTGTACATGGTTTGATATTATTGTTCTTCTCTTTCTCACCATGTTCAGGCCAGGACATAATCTTGATGAAGATTGACACCATACAGCTCAAGCCCAGAACAGTAAATCCCTGGCATGGCTCCCATGGTAAGACCAGCTGTGCATCACTCAACTCAACAACAACTGACCTTTTGCCCAGCCTTGCAACCAGAGAAGTACTGCTTGGAAATCTGGTGGACATCATCTTCACAACTGCATCCCAGCAAGGCATGGAGCTATTCACACCGGGGGATCATTAAAAAAAGGTGTCCCAATCAAAGATTTATATTTTCAGTATTGTAGTACAAAAACTATGCTACGATAGGTTGCCCAATACTTTTAATATAATCTGCCATCATTGGTTACCTGTTATATCAGCTATTGCATCCCAAAATGGGACCTACAATTGATTGCATATTAGGTCCAATCAAGACCACGTTTTTTCTTGTCCTTTTTTGTAAGATATCAGGGCTCATTTATATTCAAGGTATGGTGGCATGATTTATTGGACTCAATCTCTCACAAAATGGGGTCTAGATCAATGGCTCAGATATCTGAGCTATTGCGGCCCGAGCACAGTCTGCCCAGATATCTCTGATATTGGTGCACATTGCCGCTGACTGATAGTAAAAAGATACCCCAATATCGGAGATATCTGGGCAGACTGTGCTCGGGCCGCAATAGCTCAGATATCTGAGCCATTGATCTAGACCCCATTTTGTGAGAGATTGAGTCCAATAAATCATGCCACCATACCTTGAATATAAATGAGCCCTGATATCTTACAAAAAAGGACAAGAAAAAACGTGGTCTTGATTGGACCTAATATGCAATCAATTGTAGGTCCCATTTTGGGATGCAATAGCTGATATAACAGGTAACCAATGATGGCAGATTATATTAAAAGTATTGGGCAACCTATCGTAGCATAGTTTTTGTACTACAATACTGAAAATATAAATCTTTGATTGGGACACCTTTTTTTTAATGATCCCCTGGTGTGATTTGTATAGAATGGTCAAGCAGGTAAAAAGCAGTTTGCCCTTCTGTGTAAGAGATACAATATGGATTGCCACTTTGCTTTTGTTATTGGATATTGATTTTGTTCTGAGTAAAATGATCAAGCAAGTTCTGTGCAGAAGACGGGGACTAACAAAGAATTTGATGTATATATGGAGGTACATACATAGTTCAAGAACCTGTTCTGGACATGACAGTTAACAATATCTCAAGACCCTAAGCAAGCTTGCCTCCCTTCCAAGGTCCAAAAACATCAATCCAACCACTTGGAAAAAGCTGCGCAGTTCAGCCAAAAAATGTGCTGGGGTTGAGCGTGCCACCGCCCTCCAGCTCTGGCATGCTACGATGCAAGAGATGGTCCATGCAGATTCCCTTATTGATATCACTGCCTGGATAGCTCTTCAATCCATGAGCAACAAGGCCAAAAGGGGAGTCTCAGGTATGTTTCTTGTCTCTCATTTGTTGATATCTGTCTACTCTCAGATGGAAATGGGCAGCCAAAAGCCAAGATCCCTTGCAGAGCCAGAACACCAAGAGTAAATGCCAAAAATGCATGACTGGAGTTCTTCAAGATATTCTCAATACTTGCATTATAGATGACCAGAAATCCCTGGAGGATTACTGGGCATGCACAAAAGCTAAGGAGGAATGCAAAGACCAACAACACAACAAGCAAATCAGTCTGCTGCAGGACATCGCCAAGGAATTGAAAGGAATCAAATTGACAACACAATTGGTCCACACTTGCTGCTTGACTGGGATGCTGGTTGTTCCAAAAGGCAACATGATGTAGCCTTTGGTCTTGTGGGCTGGGTTGCTGTGCACAAAAAAGTGTTTGCCAGCGGGACCCCAGAAGTGCATCTCCAGTAGTTTGAGCTGTCCACTCTCCTTGAGAACTGCAGAATCATGTCGCAAGTCTCCAACAGGGCCAAAAACATGGACAATAATGCCATGCAGAGTAATAAGTAGGTGATATTTTGTTAAACAATGAATTCATTTCCAACCATTGAACAGAATCGATTGGTCCTGTATTGGATATGCCATGTGCTTCAAGGTTCTATCAATGATTGCCACAACTTCTTGTGTTGTACATCCCTTGTTCACAAAAATCTGGGAGAAGTGAGCCAAAGTGATTTGTGTCATAGTTTGGCCACTTTTTCATCTTATCATCAATGATCTCATCTTATCTTGGCATGGTTTATCTTATCACAGATCACAGCATCACACGGTCTGGACCAGGGGCCCAGGGGGATATCTCTATTGATTCAAGGGTGCATGACACATGCTCCGGAAGGTTCTACTACAACCCATGACCAGCACTCCATGCGGTACATAGTCTTATGACTCATTAGTTGTAGATATGACTCAGACTGGATTTGGGTATAAAAACTGTAGCTACTTGGTTGTATTCTCCAGTCTTCAAATTCACTTCTCTTTTCAACTTTGTTTTTGGGTTGATTGTCACAGTTTGGGAGAGTCTGCAGCTATCAAATTGCAGCAGATGTTTCCATCACATCCAGATAAAGGCGGCAGTTGTGGTGGTAATGCAAGACAATTGACCAGCTTCCCATCCAAACTCTAACTCAATGTTGGTAAGGTGCATTGGATACGCAAGCCTCTGTATCAACAGTGTCCCTTGACCCTCCCTACCTGCAGTCTGCATTGTACCTCAATGTGCTTTATTACAGTACAGGAAACAGATTCTGGAAAAATGGCCCCTGATCCAATTTCAATTCTGAGTCAGTGTACAGAGTATGTGTTGCTGCCAGCTTATCACTGCATTGAATTCCAAAGAGATTGAAGTATTCTGGCCTGTTTGCACAACTTCAGGCTGATCAAGTGAAGTGTGCATCATACTGTTTTGTGGTTGGATTATTGATATAGTTGGTCCAGCAGCATCCTTGAGATAGAAAACCTTATTCCAGCAGTATTTCTCCCATCATGATCCTTTGCAGCACTAAGATTCCTGTTCTTGTCCCAAGTACAGAAATGTGCTGTCAAGCCAAGAAGTGACCGTAAGTTTGGATGAGACCAGATATCTGGGGTGAAAGATATTCAACTATATGTTTCCGTATCAAATCGATTTTTGGTCTGTCAAAAAAAACAATTACCCTGAGTTCCGTAATAGGAAGGGCATAAACCTCCCTAGTTTGCTCAGAAAGCAGATCAGTGACTAAGTATCGTGCAATCCTGTGCAATCCGGTAGGTTTTTGTCTCAAATATCAGGTGCCATGTCCTATTTTCACACGACTGGGACTTGGCGCTGACAATAATCATGAACCGCAGTGGGACACACGAGGACGAAGGTTAGGAAGCAACGCTGCTGCGCTAAAAGCGATTCCGTCGGGTCGAAAGATGATGAATTGATGGCTGTTGTACACATGAGCGAATAGATCTAAGTGTGAGCGTGCTGTAGATTATGTAGGGATATATGGCAACCGGGGTCAAGGGCGTGTATAAGCTTAAAATTATCATCGAGAGGCGCGTTTGAGTTGCCGCAGAGCTTCTTTCACCTGGTCGTCAATGGTTGTCGTCCACGCTGCACGGAGGAAGAGATGTTAGCTCGGTCACCGCCGCTGTGATCCAAAAAACAAAGTAAGACACACGCACCCCACTCCCAGTTCTTCACTACGCGCTGGTAGAGATGCTGCAGCCGGTCCCACAGTTGCTGACCCTCCAGCCCGTCCATCGGGTCCTCCTCGAAACTAAAGTAGCGCCCGTTTAAGCGCGAGGCGCTAGCGATGTGCTGCGCGGCGGGGCGGCGGATCTCGTCGTAGATGCGCAGTGAACGTCCGAGAGTCTCACGCGTCGTGGATGCGTCGCCGAGAATTGTTGCTAGGATATATGCGTCCTGGCGGAGAGACGCGTGAGCAGGGACGAGGCCGGCGATCGAATGGACTGCGCTTCTCACCTCCATGGCCTGACCTGCTCCGGAGCTGGAGAAGTCAGTCACGCGAGGGGAGCCCATGATACGCTTACTCACCCCTGGTGTGGCTGCATGGCATGAGCCTGCGAAGGAGGGTCAGTTTCTAGTAGGAAGAGCCATAGCGAAAGCGACCCACCGCATCGCCGAGAAGCGCTACGCTCCCGGAAACAAACGAACGCAGGGGCTTGACGGTATGGATCGCCCAAGTCGCCGCCTGGTCGACGCACTGAGAGACCAAGTTAGAGCCTATCCATCGCGCAGCGCGGCCGCAGCCGCGAAGTTCACTTCACCTGTATCAGGAGCTGTACATCCGGCTCCCAGTTTTCAAACAGGTGCGCAAATTGGGACTTGTCCCCGAGGCTCATCCACGGCCCGCCGTAAGGCGTTCCCTCGAGCTCGTGCCGGAAGTCGAAGGCGACAAAGTTGATGATCTTGCCGTTCTGGATTGGGTAACCGAGGACAAACTTCGCGTTGGGACGTCAGCCCTCGGCGCAACGAGGAAAGGGTATTACATCCTCACCGCGCCTTTGCCCAGGTACTGCGAGGGTGGAAATGAATGATTGATTGCCCTGCGCTACGAGTGAGGCGCATGCGCACCTGAGTGCCTTTCGTGAGCACCTGATGGGAAGGCGCCAGGGCTCGGAGACGTTCCGCAGGGAAGAGCGCGCGGTAGGCCGTGCAGCCGCTCCACACCGGCTCGATGCAGGTCTCGATTTCTCTAGCCTCCTGCCACCTGCCCTGGTCCTGCATCCACCGGATGCGCTCGGAGAGAAACGCGCGCCGGGTGTTGGATTTCAGGCCGTCCGCGCCGACCCTGCGACGCGATATGGAGATGAGCATGCGTCAATCAGCGGCGGCACAGGCGGCCCTTACAGCACGTCGCAGAAGCTTCGTGTTCCGTCCTCAAAGACGAGCTCCGTCGGCCCAGATGGTCTTTGGACGAAGGTGTGCAGGCGCTTGGACATGTGAATTCGCGTTGACGACGGTAGGTGGCTGAGCAGCACGTTCTGAAAGTCCGCGCGGTGGAACGTCAACAACGATCCTGATTTCCAGTCAATGAGGACGGGCGAGATTCAGCGAGACGCGACGAGTCGCATTGGACCGGGCACGCACCATTCGTGACGAGCGTCGAGAATGCGAACCCTGCACCCTGATCCGACTTCCTGTAGTTGAAACCGGCCACTGTTTAAGCTTAGTTTATTCTGCCCAACATCGAGGGAGAAGGCTGTCAATCACTCACCGGGTCCTTCTACCGGTTTCGTCTCGCATGTCATAGCCAGATCGTGGTCCAGACCGAGCAACTGCACGATCTTCCATGGCCGCGGGAAAATGCCGACACCGGCGCCAACTTCTGACAGAGACTTGGCTGCCTCGTAGATCTGCACTTCGATGTCTGGATATCGGGACAGCGCGAGGGCGAGAGTGAGTCCGCCGATTCCTCCACCGCTGGGTCGGCCTTTGAGCCGCGCCAAAGCACGAACGAGAGGCCAGACGTGACGTACCAGATGGCGATGCGTAGTCGGGGCTGGGGCATGGCAGACGGTCGAGGAGTTTAGTCGTGGTCGATGGATTTGCAGCCTCAGCAGCCATCTTATACTGTCGTGTGGACTGGGGTACCGCGGTTTTGACGGAAGTCGATAGGCGTTGCAGGTGACAGATTAAGCGAGCAAGTGGCCTGATTGGGACAGGTCCGATTTGTACCCACGATCCGGTCGCGCCTAGCGAATACACACATCAGGGCTCGTGGAGACTTTCTTCGACTTGCCAATCAACTGATCTGTCCTTGCCCAGCGCTGTGCAAAATCCTACCACGGTTCCAGCGCAAGAAGTCGGCCCACGGGCGCATTGCCCGACAATTATCAGGATTGTATTGCAAACACGAGAGAACAGTATCAGCCACGAGTGGGATTGCATGCGTCGAGAATGTGATAGGACGAGATTTCCGGAAACATGGGCGACGCGCCGAAAGCCCGTGTTGCGTTTGAATCGGAACCGATGATCTGCGGCCGGCCAATATACACGCCACATTGTGGCCTCGACCCTTGCATGGTGCAAATGTACAGCGCAAGCAAACTTCACGGGCCGCTGCTGCTACGCAGCGTTGGAAACAGCAGTCAGCAGCTGTTGCTCCGAGAGTGAGAGCGAGTCTGCATGAATTGCAGCCCAGGGGTCTTCGGCCTCGGAAGCTTTTGGGAATATAGCGAGATGGGCAACGTGATCGCTCGCTGCTAGCTTGCTTGGACATCTCCAGAGAAACCGAGTGCAACATTCAGAGCGTGGACGGAAGAAGAGAAGTTTCTACTCTGTCGCATGGTAGATCTCGGCAGCGGATGCCGGCCCGGAACACCGATCAGGAAGCGGATGATCGCTGCTGATCCGTCGCTCTCGTTATTCTCAATGTGTCCCTGAGCCATGGCTTCGGGCGTCGTGCGTAGTTAGTGTCAGAGCAAAGAAGATAAGCACAGGCGTGGGCCGGCGTGAATCCGCCCCGTGTACACATAACCCCGCCCTCTTCTCTGCCCGACAGATCAAATTCTGTTCGTCCCACGAAGCTTCTCTCAAGCATCTGTCGACTACTAAATGTCCCGGATGCATTGAGTTCCGCAGCGCGTCGATGAGCTTGACGGTCTGGAGTTCGCCGATTACATACAACTTTGTCTGCGCCAGATCATTTTTACACCCATCGCGCTTGTACGTTGACGTCACGACACACCATCACGGTACCCACTTTCCGCTCACACTCGCTCGAGATACCGGCCAAGATCTCAGCATTGATGCTGAGAATCCAGGATTGACTGGCAACACATGCACGTCTTCTGCGATCACTTCATGACAAGTCCCCATCGGGGCTTCGTTGTTATCCCAGCATCCCAATGGGGAAATCGAGTATGTCAGATGCAGTCGACGACCAGTAAAACACATTGGGCTCTCGTAGAACGGCCCTCAGATCCTTCCTGCTGGCTGTAAAATGACGACGCCACCGCCTCGACGTCTCCACCGACGTCATGGTCCACCGTCGGCACTGCAGGCACGTCGTACCCCGTTTTTTCAATTGTTTGAGATTGTCTTTGATGACCTCGCTAGGATTCTCGTCTGGCCTACGGTCTTTTCGCACATTCGGATAATTCCGGCCTGCAGACGAGGGTCAAGTGTGGACAGGTTGTCTCCCCGCGGCGTGGATCCGTTTTTCCAACCCGCGCTGTATGCTTACAGAAAGCGAATGACATACATCTCCGTGATTTACGCTGTGAGGCAGATCGTCTCGGCGGCGCAAACACAGATTACGCATTTTCTTGCCGGTCTGACATCGGATACTGCTCCTGACGGGGAGTTCCAGGACTTTTTCGTTGCGTTTACTATCAGGCCGAGACCGGGCCTCGATCTCAGGACAAGGCACTGAAGCGGAGAGGCGCATTCGTCGAATTTTGTCTCAGTGGGGACGATGTGAAGGGCCGCTCCTGAGTCCCTACTATCCAGACCCTGCCAAGCAACTCCGACTGCAAATAGAACGCGAGAGTGACGGCGAAAGAAGATATATATCCCACTGCTGCTTGAAGCCTGGCCGCACCAACCTGCAACCACCCGGTCCTGCCGGATGTTGCTTATGGGAAATAGAGATGATGGGGAAGAAATAATGCTGTAGCGCGTTTCACATGACAGGCAACTGCGAACGATTGGTGCGTGCGTTTGCCACTACCTTCAGATAGGATTATCTCCATCATCATCACGGCCCTAGCCGCGCGCAACCAGCATAAGGTCTAGAGTGAGTCCCTTCCCTGGTGGATGTCTCCTCATTGACAGAGTAAAACTCAGATGGACATCCAAGACGGATGAGACGGCAAACGATTCTAGGAGTCCGCTGCGATGCACATGGAATCGGCCTCAAGATATAACCGGCAGCCCACCCGGGAATGGGTTGAACATTGAGCAAAGTTCAAGATCAGAACTACAGTCTTCTGATCTGAAGCGCATCCGCATCCACTCCACGAAATGAGGTCGCGATCTCTAACAGAACTGGATGCAGACCAGCAGCATCTGCAGCCGGCCGCGCCCTGACCGGCGTAACTTTCGAATCGAAATAGTCGCGTGCGAAAACGCAGCGATTTTCAGCTGCACGAGACTGAGTTTAGGCGATTAGTCACCATTTGAGTCTAGTATCTACTTTAGACTACCCCGGGCCAACCCCAGGCCACGAGTTCCGTATGCTTGCCGGTACCGAGCATCTGCCATGGCGATCGTGCGTGATAGGACCCGGACTCACTACGTTCCGTGGTCGCCTAGTCTCCGAAGGGACTAGAACGGCCGATATTTGACCGTCTGATGGTCCAGAGGAGTCTAGTCACTTGGTCCATCAGGGGCTATGGCTCTGGTCCCCGGGTGGGGACTCCGACGACCGATCTGGGCCCTGTTCGAGTAGTCACCTCCGCGACCGCGTGGGTGGTCACCGTTAGGTGACGTATCGGCCCTCCTTGTCCCGGGGACTATCAGCACTCACCTTCTCAATCACTAGCTCTAATATCTATGCGCTGTTTGATATCAAGGATTTCTCTACTGGATTGCCCTTATGTTCGTCAATGTATGTCCCCACCAGTGCGCCCAAGGCACACACCTAAGCTGTATCAGCGTTGCCATGGCCGCGTAGCATGGCACCTGTGCGAAGGGATCAGCGTGCGTACGAAATTTTGGTCGAATTCGGAGAAAACATGTCGCTTTTAACTTTTGTCTTCCCCGGTCCTCTTACGCTGCGGCCGCTGGAGATGTTGTTCAGGCGTGGAAATCCAGGGACATCTCCGCTTGACTCAGACCTCCACATTCTTTCGACGCGATCCTGCAACGGTGTGGACGCCGTACAGTTCTTTTATTCTTTTAATGGACTCGAGACGTGCATTGGGGAGAGGTCCGCCGCCTAGGTATGTTCATTTGATTCTGGAACTGCCTGTCTTCGCTGATGGAAACCGAAGCCATTGGCGCAGCGGTCCTCACGCGATGCGGTCTGCTACATCGCCTGAAGGCTCTCCACCGGCGCCTCGTATCCTCCAGCCTTTCACTCGATCGCCAGCACCCTATTCCAACTACGATATTTACAATACCCCCGTGCCTCAAGATTCGCATCACAATCAGCGTGGACGCCGTGATCGCCAGCTCCCGCCATCCATTGAAGAGCGGTTGGCACAGCTGGAGTTGCGCCAGCGCGAGTCGGAAGAAGAGAACCAGTGGCTACGTCGACGCAACAATGAGCTCGAAGCTGAGCTGGCCCGGCCAGTTGTGCGTGGATCGGGGCGCCAGGGATACAGTCGTGCGGAGATTGATAGCGACGATTATGCTCCTGGGGAAATGGTGCGCTGTCATTGTTTTACCATTCGTTTGCGACGTCTAACGTTGGACTCGGGCTGTAGGACATCTTGCCGCCAGCTCCCAATCCTGTTTTCGATGACTGCACCGATGGACCTGTGCCACAAATAGAGCCTGCTACTCGGCGTCTGGCTCCTTACACTAAACCGGCCAACCCAATGTCTTCAGTCTCGCAGAACCCCGTCGTACCTTCCGTGCAACCTGCCGCGGGTGCCCGACCGCCGGTGAAGCCAGCTGTTCTTGTTTCTTTGGGGTTGCCTCACAAAGACCTCACAAAGGACCAACAGGAAGTGCGGAGTAAGATCACAGTGCGCCATTACTTCTTTGATCCTCTCGCTTCTCTCACTCTATCCCTCTGCAGCGCCGTGTTGGTTCTACATTCCGCAATCTCTGCGGGATCACAGCACAGGAACCGTGGCCCGACCCGTCTGTTGTTCGGATCGATTCATCCACGGGCGAACATCTTTTTACTCCAAACTTCCCTGGAGGAGTGACCGATCGTAACAACGTCAAGCTCATTGATGCTGTTGCTGATGAAGTACTCAGGGAACTCGAGGTTTGTCTCGTACCTCTGGCATCTTTAAATCCACATTAATGATATGCGCCCGCTAGGATCCCGACTGTCGCCCAGCAAAGTTTGACACATGTGGAGCAACAGTTGATCGCCATCTGCTCCAAGCATTTGCGAAGGAGTCTTTCAAAGGCTTCAAGAAGCAATACAAGACCCAAGTCGACGAGGTTGCTCTGGCGAACAAGATCAAGGCCAAGGCCAAGGACCGTCGGGAGCAGCGGCGCAAAGCGGTGAGTTAGTTTCTCCAGCCTGAACTCTTCGTTTCAAGCACTAAATGAGTCTAGAAACACGGTCATCGCCTCGAAGCTGTGCCCCAGTACGCGACTGAGCATAATCTCAATGAGGAGGATATTGCAGCTGCCATAGACCCTGAGCACATGTCTGACGAGTTCTCTGAACCGGACCCAGATGATAAAGATGCTGATAAACTAGATTGGGCTGTTCGGATGGCAAAGGCAACGGGACGAATGGACGCCACTCGACAGTCAGTGCAAGATTTGCGTTTCCTTGAGGTATCCAAACTTGCTTGGAGGACTGATGAGGTGAGTATTGATTTGACTTCCTTCTGCGCCAATTATGACAGCAGTTTTTCAGGCTACAAACTTCAACCTCGAATTAAGCCAGATTTACGAGGATTCGCTCACAGAAACTGACAAGGATAAACGCAAGTACATTCGTGTTCGTGGCACCACTCGCATGTCGAAGCGTGTGCCCAATAAAGCACCATTCAATTTTGCGGTCCGGCCGGATTGGTTGGCAGATCAGATGAAGGACGCCAAGATGGCACAGTATTTGACCAGTGCTGGATGGGGAACTTATCCGGGTCCTTGTGGGCTTGATCCTGATCTCGAGGCATCTGGGACACCTAGTAATGTCGATGCTAATAACATGCCCATCGAGTCTCACAGCAGATAGGCAATAGGAGGAGGACATAAGTAGTTCAGACATACTTGCAGATACCCCTAGTTACAGTAAAATGTCTTTTAATTGTCACTTTCTTCTTCCTCAATTTCTGCTGAAAAGCCTGCGGCAATTGCAGGGGTCATGAACTGAGTAGATATGTAAGGTCATGCTAAGTATATGGAGTCATTATTCACTCACACGGTCAATTGTGGTTGTGATCCATAGAGGTGGATCAGTGTGAGTGACTGTACAACGAGCCACCTGGCAGTGAACATTGGCCAGTTGAACAATCATCGGGGGAGTATTAGAGATTGGATCAACAAATTGATTCAGTTTCCAAGTCTCAACGCCAAGTTCAGGACTGAGATAATATAATTCAGTTGTCTAATTGCTCTAGGATTGGGAATAAGAACTCACAACAAGTCCCACAGTCCAGTATTGTCAAGTGGACTGTAATCCGAAGGCACCATCCATCGAATAGCAACAAGAAGGTCTTGGTGGGTGACACTGATGCCAGGTTGCCGGTGACTAAATATATAGAGAACCTCGCCAGCATGGGGAACATTGTTAAAATATGCTTGGACCAATGATGATCCCACTGGACGCCCATGCAAAGAACAAGGAATAACTTTCCGGCCTGCAAGAAAGGCATGCTGGTAAGTTCGAACATAATTATGGAGAGAATGTGTCCCCTCGAAATCTTTGGAACCAAGATGGACTTGGGCTCTGTCCTTGTTGTAGAACTTGAGCAATGCTTGTCGCATTACACTCCCCAATAAATGGGTAGAATTCCCGATTGGTCCTGCACGTGTTATCATGGAATCTGGAATTAAGTCAACCCAATGAGGAATCACAAAAAAGGATACAGAGATCATACATGCACTGGACTGGGCAGCATCTTGGATGGTTCCAAGTGGTCCAGTGTTCATGTTTCCCAGGAGGATCCGAGCAAACTCCTTCTCAAGTGCTGATTTGGTATTGGAGTTCAAGATCTTTTTCATCTGGAAAGGAGAATAAATTTGTTGAATCTGATCAAGCATGAGACATACCACAGTCTCAAGTTGAACACCACGTTGAAATTCACGCATCATTGAAACTTCAAGTTGTCCACCAGTCCCGTTATTGCTATTGGTATTCTTGAGTGTCTTGTTCAAGCGTTCGGTCAAAAAAGCCCAGAAAGAATAGAAAGGTCCAAAATCCTGAATCTGGTCAAAAAGATGAACAGCCCAATGATGATTGGGTTTCATGCTTTCAGACCCATAAAACTTATGAATGAGTAGTGAGTTGTATTTTCAAACTATCTAATCATCATTGGAACTCACTTGAAGAAAGCCAAGCAGGTACTGCTCTAGCAGAGATTTTGCTCTGGGAATCAACTCTCGGTAGATTGAGCTGCCAACCAGAATCTTGAGCGCAGTTGCAAAACACAGGAAATTATCTTCTTCGCCTGGCTGTAGGCGTAGAATGGGTGCCTCTGGCGGTTGAGGTGGATCACCACGAAGAGAAATCCTTTGTCTCTGCCAGGCTTGATATTTTGTATCATATTCTGCCATCTGCTTGATGTATCTGTTCTGAGCATTTGTGTGTTCATCCTCTGCTTTTGCTCGGAAGACATCCCACACAATTGGAATCTGCGCTATCAATTAATACTGTGCATGTGGATAATAATATCTTCATCTCACAATAATGGCCCAAGGTGCTGTGACTGCAAATTTATACTCATCTGCAGTGAGTGATCCACCAGCAGGCTCGCCCACGCGCAATGGTAGATGACCAGTCCAGGATGGGCACTCAAACTGAGGATAATTGTCAAAATACAACAGACATGAGATCAGATAAATTGACTCAAACTGTCTCCAAAATTTGATGAATAAAATGGAGCTCGCGCTCCTGCTTGCTGGTGTCTGCACGGAGAACCTTTCCCTTGATCCACACTGAATACCATTGTGTCTTGGCAACACCTGAAGAGGATGAATATCAACAACTAGCAAGATTATTTGGCCTGACCAAGTAGTAAATTGTGCATGGGGTCAATCACCGTGCACCGTACAATATCAAAGTAGTCCAGACGAACAAATTCAGACCAGCGAACTCCATGCTGTGCAAAGAAATGTTCCTTCTCTGAGTCAGTTTCAAGATCCCAATATTGTTTAGCAAGTCGTTTGTGTTCTGTACTTGTCCGCTGAGGATAACCTGCAGCAGAAATTAAACAGAATAATTAAGTTCTGAGCTTCACCAATGGAAATTAGAAATGGGACAGACAATTTTTGAGCGACTCGACAGTAAACAGGTTGGCCTTGGAAACTTTGCACTTTGGGCAAGGAGTGTTCTTGTGTCCATGATCAGCAAATCCAGAGATCTTGCACATGGCAGGATGATCTGCAATGATGGATAGTAACGCAACACGAACACATAATCCTGTAAATGCAATTGGAATTGGCTCAAGGTACATCAAAGAAATAACTCAACGATTTGGCAACCCTGGAGCCTCAACCAGGATTCCATCATGGTAGAGTTTAATCAGATCATCAACAATGATCTTTGAATAGTTTTGCAGTTGCTCTGAGGTTGGCTCCGTTGGGCCTGGTGGCATTCCAGTTAGAATCAAGTTTTCAGGGCGATATCTGAAAGCCATTAAGTATTGTTGGTTCAACTAAGAAGCACACTAGATTCCCGAACCGTAATTCAGAATTTAGGTTCTGGACACAAAAGCTGACAGCACCAGAAGAGTGACTTGGCCCATAGTTACCCGATTTCCGACCAAACCTAGGATGGGAAGTTTGATTTTCAGTATAAATGAGATTGTGCAAGACATTCAGCACACACCAGTCAATCCCCAATGAAACTCCGATCCGCACTTCATTCTCATCCTCACTGTAAAAGAATCTAGAGCCATCCGCAGCCTTGAGATTTTTCCAAATGTCTCCATCCTGTATAGTGTCCAGCTTCTCATGTGATGGTGTTCTAGTTTTCCACTCTCGAACTGCATCCACCATTCCTGGTCGTTCAAAGAATCCCCGAAGAGCATCTGAGAGGAGGTGAATTGGGGCAACAGTTGCGGGCTTGTAGCCTGCTGTGTTCTGCTGCCCCTCGGAATTTGAACCAGTGTTGGCCTCATGGCTAGCATCCTCTTCCATCCCAGTGATATCTCTAAGACGATCCACCAATAACTGTGAACGAGTCAGGTAGATTGCCGCATCGCAACTAGGGCATTTTGTATCAGTTGGGGAGACATCAGGGAAGATAGAGTGACAGCAAGGACAGATTGGGTGGATTTTGAATTGATCGTGTATGTTCAGCCTCGCGAAGACAGTCTTCAGAGTCATGGGAAGTGACTCTTCCCCAAGAACATTTCCCGGGACAACAGTGAGCACAAAAGTGATTGCCCAGAGAAGCATAGAGATTGCCCGAAAAGAGACATGATGCTGAGTATGAAACCATGCGCACAGAATCAAGATGCATTGTATGAGTGAGTGTGGATCAAAAGCCGGCGGAGACTCATCAGGCTCAACAGCCTCTTCGACCAGGTGAAGTAGTGGTTCCTGAGCTCCAGTGTTGCAGCTGACGTCGATCCTGCCACCCAGAATGCCATTATCCCATAGGGTTTCGGCCGCTGGAGGAGAAATGCTAAAATCGGGGCTTGGCGAGGGGATGCTTGGCGAGGGGATGCTTGGCGATGAGAGCGATGAAGTCTGATTGCGGATTGGGTCAGACAGACCAGAAAAGCTACGGCCGCGGAAGCTTGTACGGCCACGGGCTGCAAGGGATTGACTCGCAGAACGATCTGTCGAGCGTCCTTGATCTAATGGTGCGCTTGTGTTATGAGTCGGATCAGGCGGGCCAGGGATGTTTCGACCACCCCGGGTAGCTAGCGATTGGCGCGTGGAATGCCCCGTCGAGCGCCCGCGGTCCATAAGAGTGCAATGCGGGGAGACAAAAGTACTTGCCTCGTTGCCTACCACGTGTCATGAATATCAGTGATCATCCTCCATCGAGTCATCAGCAAGATCTCGCGCCGCGAGGGGGCTTATAAAGAACTTTATAGTGTTATAATGCAGATATACATGCTAAAACCAAAGTGCATATACCGGTTGTATCCTTAAGCAGCCGCAATCGCTGTCGCGAATTGTAATTTCGGGAATCTGGGTTGACGTGGGACAGTAGGGGACTAGTCGGGGTCGAGTGATAGCTGATCAGGGACCGAGCTGTCTAGACCCCACTCCGTCTCACATGGGCACCCGTAGCCACCATGGTGACTACCCACGTAGTCTCCCTCTGGTGACTAGGAAAGACTAGCCACCTAGTCCCCTGAGGGGACTAGGTGCCTACGGAACGTAGTGACTCATCGGCGGCAGAATGTACAGCAGGGAGAGAGAAACGAACGGGAGAAAGGAGCGGAGACCCCCCGCAAAATGGCCTAGGCCCGACAAGGAAACGAGAAAAACTCGGAGATTGATAAGTATGAGATAGTGATGGATATCGATAGTAGTCAGAGCGAGGTGAAATGACATATGCCCGACAACGCAGAATACGGATTGAGACCCGCACAAAGTAGGCAAGTATCTACCACCCAAAGATCATGTCCGAGACTTGTCCCAGCACCCCCTTAGTCGGCGAGGCATTGGCGTACGGCGCAGGGCCAGCAGTGGAAGCGTGAGCAACGGGCGTCGAGGGGGCCGTAGCAATAGGTGCAGACGGAGCCCCGGTGCGTCGGAACGCGGAAGAAGCGGGGGCGAGCCTTATCGGCGTGCCTACCATAGGCGCTGGCGGTGAATTGGCGCCTCCGCCCCCGTAAGAAGGAGAGGAATTGTCATTCCTGCTAGGAGTGTCAACGGCCATCGCATTCGGATCCGGAGACATGCGCCGCGTTACGGCTTGGGCGAGCATTGCCTCAGCCTGGGTGACGTCCTAGAAGGTTCGGCCACCGAGTCAGCTGAGCATCCGGAAACGAATAGCGACACCGCACTCACCGCCCATTTGACGCCTACCATCCACGTTCCACTAATCACTTCCCCGTTCTTCCGCAAGGCACGCACAGCATCAGCGGGGTCATAGTAGCCAAGTTTGAAGCAATTGACGATCTCCAGATGTTTGTCGGCTTCGGTCGCGTCGCCCAGATTCTTGAAGTAGTCGACGGTCAGGGTGA